AGAGGGTAGGCCATTTCTGACACTTTTCCATTATTGTGAGATAATACAAAAGAGTTCTCAAGATAACACTGAATTTGTTACTTATAATGAAAGAAATGCTTCTTCTTACCTGTTAGCATGGTGAAATTTTACACTGGGGAAAATGCAATCACATCAGAGAGGAAAACTACTGAGTTTCACCATACTGCATGATATACATTAATAGTAAGACGGGTTTCAGAGTAGCAGCCGTGTTAGTCTGTATCCACAAAAAGAAAAGGAGTACTTGTGGCACCTTAGAGACTAACAAATTTATTTGAGCATAAGCTTTCGTGAGCCATGTAAGGCATCATATGAAAACCAGTAACACACTGGTCATCAGTATTATGCTGTGGTGTATAAAGAATTACAGATGTATGCTGGAAATATGTACTGCTTGCAAAACACCTTTTAAGAGCATAAGCCCAACCTGTCCTAGATAAAGGCATGTTGTTTTGCCTGTTTTCCTGTGTCTCCAGTGTAAATTGAGCCAGGTAATAACTCAGCGGACAATAACAAGTACATCTGCATAGAATCAAGCTGAATGAGCAGGAAGGAAGACTACTTAATGATCATGTTGGGGGATAAAGCCTACACCCCCCAGGAAGATTTCCTGGCTCTTGAAACAGAGACAACAGATATTGGGAAATATAAGCAGAAACAGAAAGCCATTTAGGCATCCAATACCTAGGAAACAAAGGAAGAGGAGTGGATTTTCTTGGCCTGAAAACCAAGAATAGTGGAATTGAGTATAGGTGAGAAACCTGCTTAGACAAAGATTGTAACTTGTTGAAATTAAGTTTTAGCCACTAGGAAGTGTGTTTTATTCTGTTTTACTTGTAGCTGTATCTATCCCCTATTCTTACTTATCACTTTGTTCTTTGCTAAAAAATTACTCTTGTTTTGTTTTGTTTTATTACAAAACCATCTCAGTGCTGTGTATTAAACTGAAAGAGGAAGTCCTCAGTTAAACTAAGGCTGCTCTGTATCTTTGGAGGTAACAAATTTAACAACCTCTGTGAGCATCCAGTGAGAGGGACTGGACACTGCAGGAGAGACAGTTTGGGGAAGATTCAGGATTGGAAGGGCTATTGGTGTCACCCTGCAAGGAATAACCAGGCCGGTGGAAGTCCAGGTGGGGCCACTGTGTGCAGGCCGCTGATGTCAGGGCTCTGGGCCAAAGCTGCACAGCACAGAAGCACCCAAGGTTACAAGGCAGGTGGTAACAGAAATCCTTATTGATCTGGATGGACCCCAAAGGGGCACACTGCCATCTGCTTTTCATTCCCATGCTAGGCTAGACAGAGGGAGGAGGAGTATGTGGAACACTTTGTTTATGTCTTTTATCCTCCTGAGAGATCTTGATGAAACTTTCGTGGGGATACCTTGCAATCCTCTTCAGAAGGCTTCTCGGGATGATGTCCTTATTTCTTCCTCCATGATAGGACACTTTCCCAGGCCGCTCTGCCGTGCATCCAGCTGTCACCATGGCAGCAAACAGGCTAGCGGCATATGGGCCCAGATGGCTTCAGGACACCAGTAGCAGCTGGGTTCTCTGTCCCTTTGTGACCCTCAGGAGTAAGATATCAGCCAAAATCACCACCACCTGTGGAAAATGTTGCCAATATTCACTTCCATTGCTCTGTACTCATATCCATGGAATAGAGGCCAGAATTTTATAGCTTCATGCAACAGAAAATCTTCTCCCTCCCTCCCACCTCCTCACTTCCTGGCAATACTCACCATGGTTTGAGCTGGAGTACGGTTGCCAATTTTGGTTGGACATATTCCTGGAGGTTGGATCACATGACATAATCTTTCATTAAAGATTAATATTTAATTCCTGGAGCCTGCGGGACAATCCTGGAGAGTTGGCAACCCTAAGCTGGAGAGCAGTGCTGTGCTGAGGCACTCCAAAGCCGAAGTGTCAATAAACATTTCTTATTAAAAGTATTCATGGGAATATGGGAAAGAAGTTTTGAAACTTATCTTTGCCCTTTCATTGTGACTGTAAATCTAATGGGGCATGTGTCTGTTTTTATCAGCAGCTTCTAGCACGATGGCTTTGAGGGGAGACTCCTCAACCCTGCAGAATGTCTTAGCCTGATGAGGACAAGGAAGAGGACTAGGGAGGACGTGTTCTGTGAAATCCTACAAGACAGTGCAGCATCACATCACGAACAAAGAGCCAATATGATTAAGAGCATGGAGAAAAACAGAGAGCACAAGCAGAGGGCCTGGGAGTTCCAGCAGGATAAGGAGTGGGAAATGTCTGCACTGCATTGTAAACTGGGGTTCAGACTCAGGGTTGAGCCCAACCCCCCTACTGTCCACACACAAATCTATGACTTGGGTCAATAGCACTCAGGACCCAAGTCTTCTGCCCTAGCTGGGTTTTAGGTCCCCAAATTGTGGGACACGCCCCCCTTGGGGGGGGGGGCACAGAAGAACATTCAAGGGGAGTGGCTGGGGCCCAGGCCAGCCCCTACGGGGGGGCAGGGAGGGAGTGCCACCCAGTTCCACTCCTGGCCCTGGGTTGCTAGCCCCAGCTGCCAGCCCCACACCTGGGGCTCTGCTCCCAGCCCTAGCTGCCAGCCCCGCACTGAGGGGCGCTCAAACAATTTGTATAGCGGGGGTGCTGAGAGCCATTGAACCAAACAGTAAACACTGTTTATCATGGAAACCACTTCAAACTAGGTGGGTGCAGCAACATCTCCAGCACTCCTAGTTCCGGCACCTATGTCGATGCCTGGGGCCCCAGCTGCTGGCCTTGGCCCCCAGCCAAGGCTCTGCTCCCTGCCCTGCCCCCAGCTGTGGGGGCAACAAAACTACATTTTGTTTACACCAATGGACATAAATGTTTACTTCCTTTTCAAAAGGAATTTTAAAAGTTTTAACCTGTTAAATTATGTTAGAAGTTTGTATGACATTGTACGTGTTTGTTGGCACTTTGATTTTGTGCACAGAATTTTTGAACTCAATAAAGGTCTACATTTGGAGAATTAAAGTATCTTGATTAGTTCACAATAAATGCTACAGAATGCACAGCGGCCGTCAAGAAATCGAACAGTACTTATAAATGCACACCAAGCACCACCCAATTCATAGCAGTAGGCAAATGCCCCAAGCCGAGCAGTATTTATAATTTGCAGGAAGCACAACAGGATACCAGCAGCCAAACCTAAAACACACACAATGTAAATTACACAAGACAGACACTATCCCAAGACAGAACACAACTATGGCTGATTGTGAAAATAAGCCTTTAACGCCTCCCTCAAAAGCATAGCTCCACATTGGGTTTGTGTAATAGCTCTGCTGTCTTGCTGTTCAAAGCCAGCAGACAGCCACCCCACCTCAGCCCTCCTTACTGATGGCAGCTATTCCCCTTTTGCCTCTAATCTAATGAGTGAACAACCCAGCAACCCTTAAATCTACCACAAGCGCATTGCACAATCATTCTGCACCTACTGAACCTGTAGATGAATATTTCTTTGGCACTGTCAGGATAGCCAGTGTACCAGCTTCATGAGCCAAGGGAGCAAGGGGTAGGCTGGGTACCCCAGAATCATTACTGGCATTTCCACATCACCAATGGTAATCTGCCAGTTGGGAGGGAATATCCCTGATTGCCGCTTTCTGAACGGTCCTGTGTTCTTACAGATGCATGCATCATGCAGCTTCCCTGACCAACCCACACTGATATCAATGAAACATTCCTGGTGATCGCTAGTGTTTGTATAACCAGAGCAAAGTAACCCTTGACACTGATGCACTCAGTAGCAGGGTGGGCTGGTGCCAAGATAACATTATGCATGCTATGTATTTCTCCACTGCAGTTCAGGAGCCCCATTGCTGCAAATGTCTTGCATGTTGCCTAGAGTCACAGTCCTGCAGTAGCAGGAGATGATTAATGCCCCATACACTTTCACGACAACAGCCATCATGTAGAGTTTCCAACTCCAAAATGATTTCCCACTGACTAGTAGCAATCCAGCATTGCAAGCTTTCAGAGCTTGATTGCCACTTGCTTCTCCACTGTCAATCCAGGTCTGTTATTGGTATCCCTCCAACAGAGGGATGGGGTGAGCTCCGCACAGAGATCCAGGAACATGACCTTTCACTTCTGAAAGTTCTGACGCTACTGCTCGTTGTCCCAGACCCGCATTACGATGTGATCCCACCTGTCAATGCTCATTTCTCGGGCCCAGAAGCAGCATGCCACTGTCTCCACTTGCTCCGTGAACATCACCAGCAATCTGGAATTTTTTTCCTCTATGTCCACCAAAAAACTCTCCTCAAATATATCTTCATCTTCCTCATTGTGTTTTCAGTTGTGGAATTTCCTGAAATCTGAAAGTACAGGAAAATCATACATCCTGCATTTGCAATATTCCTAGGGAATAGTGCTGAGCTCTGTGGGCTCCCAGAAATCCCTGGGCAAATCATTACTGCCCCACAAAACACTACAAAAATGTCCCCAAAGGAACTTCCTGGGACACTGGATTGCCTGCCCAGCACAATGCACTTTACATTGACACACGTACTCATGGTGAGTACATGCAGAGCTGACACAAGCAAACAGGTATGCATGCACACAAGCGACATACAAGCTTTGGCAGCTGTACAACAATGTAACTTGCATCAACTGAAGTTTGTAGTATAGACATGGCCTAAAAGTATGGCAGACTCAAATGAGCTTAACAGAAAGTCAGTGGGAATCAGCAAGTTTTTTCTAGTTAATTTTTGTTCAGAGATGCTTGTGCTGATGCTGTTGGATGTCTGGTCTAAGGTACAATTCACTTTATGAATCAGTACAAAAATAGTAAAACGCTAGCTGATGCTAGGGCTAACTGGTGAGTAGGAAGGTCTGACATGGCTTCCTCTCCCAGACAATTCCAAGAAGTCACGTTTTGTTTCATTTTCTCTCCCTCCCCCCCCCCGCCCATTTTATTTTCAAAGTGAAAGTAGGCAGTCTAGAGACAAGATGTACGCAGCCTCTGTAACAGCACTTGCCAGCTCTATGCCCTTCCCCTGTTTTATTTAAAGTTACCTGCTTTTTTGTGGCCTGTTTGTATCAACAATTGTGCTGCACTGAGAGGGAATTGGAGGGATCCAAAATGGAGATTGTTTGATTTATAGGGTAATCCTCTCCCATAGCAGGGATTATACAAGTGGGGAGGGAGAAAGGCCCATTTTACACAGAACCTTGGAAAGGAGACAGAGAGACAAGGTAAAGTACTTGTTTTCCTTGAGCTAATTGATGTTATTTCGGGGGTGCATGTTCTTTCACTTTAACCACATTTTGTAATAAAGTCACCCAAACACAGAATCTTACACTGAACAGGGTTTTTATTTACCTCCCTGCACTTCCCAGTCCATAAAGCACTGTGACAGTTACTGCTGGAGAAGCAGATGGCATCATTCAAAGCACCCATTGCTCTACAAAAGACTCTGGTCTGGAGAGCCATTGGTGGAAGTCTGCTCTGAGGGATGCTGTGAGGCATGTGCTAAGCAGAGTCCCTTCCGTGAAAAGCTCTCCTTTCTAGATTTTTCAGTGACAAACTTCGTCAAAACCAGGTTCAAGCTGATGAAAAGGTTCTAAGACAGTATGAGCAGAATTGGGATAATACAATCATAACCTCTTTTCCAATAAAGAGGTATGTTAAACTACTGTAGTCACCTCACATCCCCAAGAACAGGTATCTGTGAAAGTATTTCAGGGAGCGGGGAGACAATATAATTGTTGCTTTTTAATCAACATTGAATTCTAATTGACTCTCTTATTTAAAAAAAAAATAAAGAAATAGAAAGTTCTGGGAACTGAAGTGAAACTTTGAAAATGAATAGTATTGATAATATAAGAAAACTCAAAGTGCCCTCTTCTGGAAGCTGTCACTAACAGCAAGTTAATTTGAAATATTTGTTAAAACCACAGCATTTCTTGTTTGTGATTACGATGTACATTTTTTCTGACACTATACATTATTTCTGTTCTCAGATTATCGCATAATAGTTTGACATATTAATCTGTATATTTAAAATATTATTTAACAGAGGGAAATTCTTATGCATGGCCTTTATGTTACAGAAATGTCCCTTCTTTGAAGGAACCCTTCACAGAACTGATACTATGAATATCATCTGAAAACCTCAGAGCAAGTATTTGAAACTGTAAATAATATTGCATTTGTATAGAATAAGTATTTGGCTTAGACTAAAATTATTGATTTGAAATTAATTCTATTGAACACTATGTTAATAGGGGAACATTATTCTTTTATTTTTGCCCCAATTGTTTAAATTTACTTTTGATATTTTTCCATCCTATGATAAAAATATTATATTTAATGTCATTAGCTTGCAAGCACACTGAAATGAGTTTTCATAGTGTCACCACTTCTCATTTTGTATTATTCTTGATGTTCCTTTTTATAAATCCATTTGAGGATTTGTCAGCTGAGAGCAAAAAATTGAGTGGGTGAATTTTCATTTCTTTAAAAAAAAAAAAAAAAAAGCCAACCCAGCCTTGTTGTTGGTTTAGTTTCCCATATAAAACATTAATTCATTGTTCAATCCTTTCTAAGTACTTTCATCAGGATAACCCATGTTATATGTTTCCTTTTGTTTAATTACATACTTTGTTTCTATAGCAACTAGAAAGCATATAATCAGTTTCAATTCCTGAGTCTTTACACAGTGATTTTGCTTTCAACATACAGTAGTAAAAAAAAAAATCCTTCTTTACAACTCTAGACACTATCTGCTCTTTCTGAATATCCTTTAATTAACATGCAATAGGATTAAATCCAAAAGTAGTTCTATTGCAACTACAAGAAACCGAACAATATAACTAATATTATACTGAAATAGAAAATTCAAAAACTATTGCTAACTAACTCCTGCATGAATTTACTGCCACCTTCAGGCTTTCATCAAAATGCATCTCTGGTATAGCTTTCATGTGTCTTCTGGTCAAATTATTTGCTTGAGGCAGATTTAACTTTTCCAAGCATCACTGACTGTTTTGGATTTAATTTCCTTAGGGGAAGTTCTAAATGAACCATCAGAGTTTTTTTGGTTTCAGAAAAAGTATGTAGCCTGGTTAATTTACACACAGTATGAAGAGAAATTCCACATCTCCTTCATAAACTTGCTTTTTCACTAGGTCTTCCTCTTTTTCTGTCATTTGCCACTGAGCAATTGGAAAAATAAAGGCAGTTAGATTGTTTGAAGATTTTCCCATTGCACTGCTCTGTTGGACAAGAACACAAAATCCAGTACAGCTAGCCAAATGTTAATGCTAAATATTGGGCACTTCCTCTGTTTTCTCTTCTGTTCAGAAAAACAAAACAAAACATTATCTGTAGAAATATAGAGAAGGTTCTTAAAGTATATCCAGATTCAGACTAAGAAAGTTAGTTCTTGTAGCATGAGTAATGTCTGTAATTTAAAGTCTGTAACCTCTGCTATAGCATTATTCCACAATACCTCGAGTCCTTAGAGATATTTAGTTTTAAAATAGGAAATCTCTTAAACTCAATAAAGAACAAGTTTTACAAAACAAGGGTGTTTAAGAGCAGAATTGGAACAGTACAACCTTCATTAAACTGTCTAAGCTGGTGTCCTTGAGATTATATATATATACACACACACACACACAAAACTACATTACAAGAACAATATTAATGTTGCAAAATCTAATACTTAAAAGTTAGGAAATTCCAGAATTAAGGTGTCCTTGGCCCCTTGTGCATGTGCATTATGAAACAGTCTTTAATACCTGATCTTATACTACTTTTTCCATAGGACTCCTGCCTCATTCAGTGCACAGGATGGATGGTGCTCAGTGAATGAGCAGATATTCAGCATTTTCTTTTATCCTCATTGTTCAGTGTGTGACCTCATGCATTGTTTACTGCATACTATTGACACCCAGTCCTGAAGACAGAATTATTAATTCCCTTATGGGCTTTTCTATGGTGTTTACCACTGTAGTATCAGAGTACTTCACAAGCATTAATAAATTTACCTACTTAAAATCTATTTTTCCACACGACCCCTCAGGAAAAAATCCCCTGCCTTATTCAGTGCACAGGATGGATCTGTGCTGGGGATGAATCAAGGCTGTGTAGTAAAGGGGGCTATTCTCTGTAAGACTCCTGCCTCATTTGTTGCAGAAGTTGGCAGTTGTGCAGTAAATGTGAAGGAGGCAGGGAATTGATTGCAGGAAGAGAAAGGAGGGTCTCATTGTTAAGGGAAGACAATTGACTGCTGGAGATCTGGATTCTATCCCTGCCTGTTCTTGTGTGACGACAAGTCACTTTAACCAATCGGTCCAATCACACTATTTAAGCCAGAGGAGGCCCAGGAAGTTGTCTGAGCAACTAGGTGATTTCCTGTTGTGGCTCTGTTGGTCCCTGCCTGCTTCTTGCACCTAAGCCTGTTCCTGCTCTACTCCTGCCTCACCTCTGTCTTCACTCCTGTTCCCAATGTGCTCCTGCTCCAGGCTTGGTCCTTGCCTCTTCTCTGGTTCCTGCCCTTATGCCTAGTCCTGGCATGACCCTTGGCTTTGGCATCTGATCTTGGCTCTGACCCTCAGCTTCAATTCCTGGCTTGACCCCTGGCTCTGGGAATTGGCAGTTAACTCTGGTGCTGACCCTTGGCATTGTTCCCCAACCTAGATGCCGACTCTACCCCCTAGACCTGACTCCTGCTCTGACCACTAGGCCATACTGTCCATAGCAGATAATAGGAGTCTCTTAACTAGAGAGGTACTGTTGCTCCTCTTCCTTAAATAAAGCTTAGAGGCTTTACTATAGCCATTTACTACCTTTAGGAGACTGTAGATCTCTTTTCCTGGGTTATTCAGTTATCACCTGTTCTTAAAACATAATAATCCAATTGAGTGTAAATACGCTGACTCATCTCTTGCCTTCCTGAAGTAAGGGCATGATCAAAAGCATGTTGAAGTCAATAGAAAGACCCTCATTGACTTCAGTGGGCTTTGAATCGGGATCAGCAATCTTTAAATACATACAGCAGTAACAGAGTCTTGTCACCCTGACTCATGTTGAGTATTATATTCTGCCTATAGTCCTGTGTAATAAGGCTACCCATTATAAGGTTGGCAGAATCAGATCCTAACTGGATAAATCCAATTGGAATAAAAAACAGGGATTTTATTCTCAGGACATTTCCCTGATTTTATTCTCAGGACATCATCACTTGCATTTAGAAGTTTCAGTTACATACTTTTCCATGCTGCTTTCTCCACCACAACTTCCTGTCATCATAATAATACCTAGCCCATATATATAGCACTTTTCATCCACAGATATTAAAGCAATTTACCAAGGAGGTTTAAGTATTATTATCCCTGTTTTACTGATGGGGAAACTGAGGCACACAGCTGTAGTAACTAGCCTGGGGTCACCCAGCAAGCAGTAGCTGACCCAGAAATAGAACTCTGATTCCCAATCCAATGCTCTATCTATTAGGTAACACTGCCTCCCTGTCATATAACCCTAGGGAAGTTTTCCTGCAAAATTTATCTGCCTGCTAACATCAGTTTCCACAGCCAGAGGGCGACTTGTGGGTGGGACACAAAGAGTCAAGTGACCCTCCGGCAGCTGTCCCGGGTGGGGCAGGGCCAGAGCTGGATGGGAAGAGGCAAGGCCAGAACCTCTCCTCTTCCAGCCACGCTGCCTTGGAGGCTGCCCAGTGCAGCGTAGCGGCTGACTGGGAGAGTGCCTGGCTGCAGCAGCAGTGGGCTGCCCCCCGCCCAGACTCAGCTTCTGGGGCTCAGTGGCTGAGCAAGCTGGAGACCCTCCACACCTCTGGCATGCTCAGAATTGGCCACTGTCCCCAGAAGCTGAGCCCGCTGCTGACACAGCCAGGTGCTCTCCCAGGCAGCTGCTGTGCTGCACTGGGCAGCATCCAGAAGTGGCTCCAGAGCCTGGCTGCCAGGAAGAGCAGCTGAACATGCCGGGGGAGCCACCGCAGAGGGAGGACAAAGCCCCCCAGGTAACATGGGATGGGGTGGGGACAGGGAGAGCTTGGGGGACCTGGGCTGGGAGGAGACACATGGGGAGGTCACATGTCCTCCCCTTTACCTGGTTCCCCCTTTGTGTCCCTCTCACGAGCCACCTACTAGTGTGTAGACAAGTAAGACTACACTTGTCTACACACTACAGTTTTGCTGACAACAGCCAGCTTTCATGGACAAAACAGTGGAAGCGTACACACTGAAATGCTCCTCCCGCCGCTGTAACTCCCCTGCTACGCCGACATACCACCACCACCTGAGTGAGCAGCATAGGGATTTTTGCGATGTAGTTAGAGTGACACAGCATCAGTGTAGACAGTGTGCTTGGTTATGTGACCCTAACTGGCCACCAGGCGATGTCCCCCATGTCCATCCTGACTGCTCTGGTCAGCAGTTTGAATCCCACTGCCCTGAAGGTATACAGGTATGTGTTCCTCCCACTTCTAAAGGCCCAGAAATTTTAAAAATTTCTCTTCCTGGTTACTCAGCATGGACAGTTAACACAGCATCCTCCCAGCTGACCATGCCGGCTTTATGCAAGAGATGCGCTCCCTCGTGGAGCGCACTGGAGTTGTTGGATCTGATGGCAGTGGCACCAGAACAGGGGGTGGTCAGAGCCCTCCCACTTTTTGAAAGTGGACAGGCCTGGCCATTTTTCAGGAGGGGCCCTGACCCCAACCCTCCTCTTCTCCCCCCCCCCCCCCGGGCAAGGTCCAGCTCTCACCGACCAGACCAGCAGCTGGAGCTCAGCCAGGAAGCCCGGGCAGCTGTGGGGCACCGCATCACAGACCCTCCACCTGCCCAGGGTGGTGGTGGGGTGGATCAAGAGCAGCCCCTCGCCCATGTCCCTGCCTTGCGGACCCCCTGTCTAGGGCAGGAGGGTCCATGGTTCCCCACAGCTCCTTGTGTGCTGTGCGCGGCTCTTACCTGGACCCAGGCTATGGTAAAGTCACCTGGCCAGCTGCACCATGGACCCTCCATCTGCCGTGGGCAGGGGGCCCATGGGGTGAAGACACAGTCCAGGGGCTGTTCTCAACCCCCTCATCCTGGGCAGGTGGAAGGGCCGTGGTACAGCTTCCCACAGCTGCCCACGCAGCTCTTACCATGACTGGGCTGCCGCCTCCCAGACAGAGCCAGGTTCAGGTAAGAGCCACACGGGGGCAGCTGTAGGGAGGTGAAGAGTCCATGGCTCCTAGCCCACTCTGGCTTCTGGCTTGGCCACAGGCAGGGCTTTGGGCAGAAGAGGAAGGGCAGGGGTCCCTGCCCCCCTCACTTTGGGGCAGACTCTGCCACCCTTTGATGGGTCTATGGGGAGAGAAGACTGTGCAGTCTCAGCTTCGCCCCAGCCATAGGAATTTCGATACCTACAGGCTGATTGCTGGTAGCATACAGGAGAAGGAGCACAAAAGGAACACACAGCAATGTCATGCTAAAATCAAGGAGCTGAAACAGGCATACCAGAAGGCAAGGGAGGCCAACTGTCGCTTTGGTGCGGCACCAAAGACATGCCACTGCTACAACAAGCTGCACACCATCCTCAGCAGCAACCCCACCTCCATCGCCAAGAGCCTTGTGGATACTTCAGGGGGACTGCAGGCAGCAGCCAGCAGACCTAACCCTGCGAAGGAAGTGGTGGATGAGGCAGTAGAACTGAAGGAGGATGTGGAGCACGTGGAGGGTCGTCCGGTGGCGTGGCGAGGCGAGTCAGAACCTCTTTGTGACTCTGGAGGGGTCTAGACAGTCCTGGCACTAGTACACATGAGGCAGGAGTGGGGAGCTCTGGTAAATGCTCATTGGGGAAAGTGCTCATTTTGCTTTGATTCTGCATGGTGCTCTCATTTACTTTGAGATGTGGTATAGGAGGAATAAGGAACAGAAATTAACTGAGCTTTTGCATCTATGCAGTGGGGGCCCCGTGGAAAAGTTGGTTCGTGTACACTAGGATGGCCCAGGAATCCTCCATAGTGATCTCTAGGAAACTTTCCTGTAGGTATTCTGCAATCCTCTACCAAAGGTTCCTTAGCAGAGCTACCTTGTTTCTCCACCAGTTGTAGGCAACTTTGCTGTGCCACCCAGCAATTATTTCTGCAGGGACCAGAGCAGAACACAGGCGAGCAGCATACGGAGCTGCTCTGAAGCCACACGCATGCAGAAGAGGTATCCTTGCATCCTGGGTTACCCTTAGGAGTGAAATATTGGGTTTGATTACCTTAGTATGTGGAAAAGGGTACCAATGTTCAGAATAGTCTCCCTAGGTGCTTGTACTAACCCCCTTTGCAAACCAGCCAGACCCTTTGTCCCTTCTTACCAATTCCCCCTTACCCATCCCTCCCCCGCAGCAAATGCACCATATTTGGGACTCACACCCACCTGTGTGCTACCCAAAAAAGGTGTGTGTGTGTGTGTGTGTGTAAATTGTATGATTTACGGCTGTGAGCACACTCACAGTACTGTCTCTATTCATTGCTTCTTTGGCTTCTGCAGATGTGCCCCTGCAGACCCACTCCCCCACACTGGTGAACACCTCCGTATGATAAGGCAGCGAACCTGGAGGAGTAAGAAGCATATGTTTCACGAAATGCTGCAGTCAACAGATACAGCACATAGCAAAATAAGAGTGTGGAGGGAGACAATAAAAAAAACTCAGGCTGGATAGTCTGGAAAAGAAAGGAACAGATGATTAAACTACTGGAGGACAGAGATGCTCAAGTCCCTCATCATGCTGCAGTCAGAGAACATCCGAGCATGAGTCCCCCTGCAGCCAATACAGAAGTCCATTCTATGCCCTCCCCAAACTCCCCAACCACATTCCGTGCATGTTTCCAGTCCCTCACAGTACCCCTTGCACTCCACCCAGTGGGACTGGTTTCACAGTGAAATTTGGAGTTACACTCAGCTGTGAGAGCTGTAACCAAAAGGCCATTCCTCATTTCCATGTCCCCGGTTTGATTAAAAAAATGTGTTTTTTCCAGTATTAAACTTTATTCTTTGATACAAATTGACTCTTTAAATGTTTGCACCAACTAACATGTGTCTGACACAAATAAACAGTGGCTATAGGCAGGAACATTTGCTCACTACAATTAAAGTTCAGGAAGCAAGCACTACAGGGGTTATTCAAAACAGCAAGTAAACATTGCCTGGCCAAATGCTTAGACACATTACTGGGAATCACTGTCAAAATGCTCCTTCAAAGCCTCCTTGATTTGAATAGCCTCCTGCTGTGCCCCTCTAATTGCTCTGGTATCTGGCTGCTCAAAATCAGCAGTCAGCCAATCAACCTCAGCGCTCCAACCCTGGAGAAACTTTTCCCCCTTCGCTTCACAAATATTACGCGAAGTACAACAGGCCACAATGACCATGCGAATATTTTCCTCATTGAGGTCTAACCAGCCAAAGAGGCAGCACCAGCATCCTTTTCATTGGCCAAAGGCACATTAAACAATTATTCTGCGCCTGCTAAGCTTCTTGTTGAAGCACTCCTTGCTGCTATCTAGGTTCCCAGTGTAAGACTTCATGAGCAAGGGTAGGCTGGGTCTCCAAGGATCACTATGGGCATTTGCACATCCCCCATGGGAATCTTCTGGTCTGGAAGGAAAGTCCCAGTGTGCAGCTTTCTATACAGTCCAGTGTTCCAAAAGATGCATGCATCATATACCTTCCCTGACCACCCTGCATTGACATCAGTGAAACATCCACTGTGATCCACCAGTGTCTGCAAGCCCCTTTGGTTGAGGTACTCCATCACAAAGTGGTCAGGCCAAAATAGGGATATTTGTTCCATCTATCCCGCTCCCGCAGTTAGGGAATCCCATTGCCTCAAAGCCACCAATTATTTCCTGCACATTACCAACAGTCACAGTCCTTTGTAGCAGCAGGCAATTACTGGCCCAGCACACATACATGACTGCAACCCCCACAGTGGACTTTCCAACTCCAAACTGATTAGTGACTGACTGACAGCAATCTGGAGTTGCCAGCTTCCACGCAGCAATGGTGTAACAGGGTGCACTCACCTCTCGTGAGTGCCCCTTTGTCTGAGTGTGCATGCCTGCATTCTCTCTGATTGTCTGTGCTCTAGGATAGAGCAGGGCTCCCTCCCTGATGTAATGTCTTTGTTCTCTTGGGGCTTCCTGGCTACTGTTCTTCAACTGGGCCACCACAGTTCAGTTCCCCCGCTGGAATGCCTCAATATCTGGGCCACTTTCCTATAGTGGCTCATGGGGCTGGGGGGAAAGGGACCCAGGCTCACCCACAACTCTGGATCCCACCCCAGGGACCCTGTAGATAACAGCTGTCTGCTGTGTACCTTTAACTATGTCATACAACTTCACTAATTCTCTGGATCACTTCCCATAGCCCTGCATTGTCTTCACCCTTACCTAAGGGCCTTATCCTAATAGAGTTCCAGCAACCAGCTCAAGGCTCCTTCTCACTCTCCCCAGCGGCTGGGCTGGGCACTCCATCAGACAGCTGCACTCCTACAACCCCAACAAGGAACTGAACTCCCTCTGGCCCTGCAGCTCTTCTTATACTAGGCTGCTGGGCTCTGATTGGCTGTGTCCCACACAGCCACTCTAGGCAGCTTGGAGGACCCTCTCCACTGCCCTTTTTTTGGAGCATGGTGTGGCAGGGCCATGAAGTCTCCAGCAGGGGGCCTAGCAGGGTCTGGTATAGCCAGTCACAGACAGCTACTTGCTTTTCAACAGTAAGGGCAACTCTCATTCTGGTGTCCTTGTGCTGCAGTGCTGGGACGAACTCTGCACACAGGTCTAGAAAGGTGGATTTGCTCATCCAAAAGTTCTGCAGCCATTGCTCGTCATCTCATACATGCATCACAATGCAATCCTACCATTCAGTGCTTGTTTCCTGAGCCCAGTGCCGATGGTCCGCCATGTGCAGCTGTTCTGTGAATGCCAGCAGCAATCTTGAATTATTTGTTTCCATGGCAGACAGAAGGGCAGGCATCACCGATTCATTTTCTGTTTCGCAGCCCATGAAATACTGCAGGACCGGGCATGTTGTGTTCATAACTCTCATCACCAGACTGGTCAGCAATTCAGGATCCATGGTGTCAGGCAGAGATGGTGGGCACAGTTTACAAGGACTGTTGAAAAATGGTGCAAAATGAAGTTGGAAGCCTATGGAATGATGGCACGGAAATAACTGCATCATGGAATGGCGAGCACACCCCCATGATGCACTGCTATCCATTCCCAGAGCTTCCAGCAGCAGAGGCTGCCAGAGGGTGGCGAGTTGCACAGTGGGATAGCTACCCATGATGCAATGTTCTCTGTCAGTGCAAGAGCAATGACTGTGGACGTGCTCCGCTGACACAAGGAACATTGTGTGGACGTACACAACCAATGTAATTAAAGCAGCTTATGATCATTGATGTAACTTGTTGGCTTAACTCTGTAGTGTAGATAAAGCATAAATGTGCTATTTTAGATACACTGAGTGGCCAAAAGACTGCTTCTTTCTGATCTCAGGCACTAAAGTTCCTTGAGGACTAGATATCCAGCCTTTGATGTGCAGGCATTCTTGCCTTCTGTCAGCCCTCAGATTGGCCTCTATTGGTATGTCTACACTGCAACTAAAAATCTGTGGCTGTTACGTAGCAACTGACTGGGGTTTGGGCTAAGGGGATGTTTAATTGAGGTGTAGAGATTCAGGCCGAATGGGACAGGTGAGGTGGGATGGTCCCAGAGCTTGGGCTACAGCACAAGTCTGAATATCTATATCCTAATTACACAGGCCCTTAGCCCGAGCCCCAGGAGCCTGAATCAGCTGGCAGGTACCAACTGTGGTTTTCAATTGCCATGTAGACACACACTATGAAGCTGTCTAACAATTTGGAAATCTGTCTACATACAGCTTATGACTCCTGGCTGATATTATGAAATTGCTGTGTCATGGAGTGCCTCAGTGCGCAGTGTGTCAGCCATGAACTGACAAGGGCTATAGCAAGTATCTGCCAAATCTGGGACAACAGTGGGTCATTAAATCTTAATGGTTGTCCATTCAGGAGGCAATAGGAGAAAGTAGTTCCTCCAGTTTCTCTACAGAGAATGAGAACAGAACAAAGGAACCAGCGGGAAGATTTAACTCATGCGTACACTTGAGACCTTACAGCGGCATAGCTGTACCGATGCAGCTATGCTGCTGTAAGATCTCTGTTAGGATATAGATATTCAGGCCTGTCTGTAAAGGCCTATACTCTAAGAATTTAGGTGTATTCTTATCACTTGGCTAGTTATAGAGGTACAAAAGAGAATCAAAATCACTGTCTGCCGGTATAAGGGCCTTCTCTTACTGTGACAGTCTGAGGCCCTGTTCTTAGGCTAAGGCCTTTGGCTAAGCAACAGAGGCAGCCATAAACTGGGAAGCAAACGTTCACATCCTCACATTCCAAACTAGTCACATTGAAAGAAGGTGCTATTGGGCTGTTAGGAATACAATCCTGTCCTGATAGTGCCTATCACCTCCAGAGAAAGGGAAGTGCCTAAAAAATGTAAAAGGAAACTTAGTTTGATAGCATCCTGTCTGGCAAGAACTCGCTTATCAATAGCTGGGATGTGAAATCCTCACTTCTGTATTCTTTTGTCATTATAGTTCCCACTTTGCTATTGTTTGTCTGTATAATCTCTGTCTGGTTCTGTGATTGTTCCTGTCTGCTGTATAATTAATTTTGCTGGGTGTAAACTAATTAAGGTGGTGGGATATAATTGGTTACATAATCATGTTACACTATGTTAGGATTGGTTAGTTAAATTTCAGGAAAATGATTGGTTAAGGTATAGCTAAGCAGAACTCAAGTTTTACTGTATAATCTGTAGTCAATGAGGAAGTGAGTGGGTGTGGGTGGGAGGGGTGGGGGAGATGGGAACAGGGAATGTGGGTGAGGAAATTGGAATCATGTTTTGCTAAAGGGGGAGATGGGAACAGGGAATGTGGGTGAGGAAATTGGAATCATGTTTGGCTAAGGGCAGGAATGGGAACAAGGACACAGGTGTAAGGCTCTGTGGTGTCAGAGCTGGGAAGGGGGACACTAAGGAAGGAAACTGGAATCATGCTTGCTGGAAGTTCACCCCAATAGACATCGAATTGTTTGCACCTTTGGACTTCGGGTATTGCTGCTCTCTGTTCATGCGAGAAGGACTAGGGAAGGAAGCGGGTGAAGGAATAAGCCCCCTAACAATCTCCTGTGTAACTGCTCTATGCTGATGGGAGAGAGCTCTCCCGCCGACATAATTAAACCACTGGCAACAAGCGGCAGTAGCTATGTCAGTGAGAGGTTACCTGCCAACATAGCGCTGTCCACACCAGCGTGTCTGTCAGTGTAACTTACGTCACTTGGGGGGGGGGGGAGGTTTACTTGAGGGGGAGGAGAGAGTTCCCACCCCTGAGCAACATAAAGTGATACTGACAAAAGTGCTAGTGTAGATATAGACTCATAAACTCAAGAGACTCATAGATAAAGGTATGAGCAGGACTGAGGAAGAGAGGGGTATGTTTTTGTAGCTGGGATGGGGGAGTTTTCCTATTTAACTGTGGGACTAGTCAAAGTAAAAGAAAACTGACGTGCAGGAGAGAGACGCTCCATGATTGAGAGAAGCCTTGTGCAGAAGCATCCTGGATACCCCAGTTGACTGTCCTAAGTCCAAATAACTTTGCAGAGCAGAGAGGAAAGTGAGGCAGGAAATGCATATAGATTGATAGATTCCAAGGTCAGAAGGGACCATTGTGATTATCTGGCCTGACCTTCTGCATAACACAGGCCATAAAACTTGCCCAAAAAAATTCCTGGAGCATATCTTTTAGAAAATCTTTTAGAAAGATTAGAAAATCCAATCTTGATTTAAAAATGGTCAGTGATGGAGAATCCACCACCACCTTTGAAAAATTGTTCCAATTGTTAATTACCTTCACTGTTAAAAATGTATGCCTTATTTCCAGTTTGAACTTGGCTAGCATCAACTTCTGACCATTGAATTGTGTTATACTTTTCTCTGCTAGACTGAGGAGCCCCTGATCAAATATTTGTTCCACATTTAGGTACTTACAGACTGTGATCAAGTCACCCTTTAACCTTCTCTTTGTTAAGCCAAATATGTTGAGCTCCCTGAGTCTATCACTATAAGGCATGCTTTCTAATCCTTTAATGATTCTTGGGGCTCTTTTCTGAACCATCTCCAGCTGATCAACATCCTTCTTGAACTGTGGACACCAGAACCAGACAAGAGTATTCCAGCAGCAGTCCCAACATTACCAAGCACAGAGGTAAAATAACCTCTCTATTCATACTCAAGATTCCCGTTTATGCACCCAAGGATTGTATTAGCCCATTTGGTCACAATGTCACGCTAGGAGTTTGTTTTCAGCTCATTATCCACCCCCAAATCTTTTTCAGAATCACTGCTTTTCAGAAGAGTCGGCCAGCCTGTAAGCATGGCCTACCTTCTTTGCTCCTAAATGTATACATGTACATTTAGCTGGTTCAAAAGGCACATTGTTTGCTTGCATCCATCTTATCAAGGTATTCAGATCCCTTTGTATCAGTGTCCAGTCCTCTTCATTATTTACCACTCCCCCAATTTTTGTCACCTGCAATCTTTATCAGTGATGATTTAAACCAGGTCATTCACAAGCGCCAATTTTTACTTTTCCCCAGTAATGTCCCACATCCGCTTTGCCCCGAGGCCCCACCCCCATGGTCCTGCCTTCACTCTGCCTCTTCCTGCCCCTGCTCTGCCCCTCCCTCAAGGCCCTGGCCTTGCTCCGCCCCTTACCCCCTCCATCCCCTTCCTGAGGCCCCTGCCCACTGCTTCTGCCCTCCCCTAAAGCCCTTCTGAGCCATCAAACTGTTTGGTGGTGATGCTGCCCTCTATCAGCTGTTTGTCAGCAGCCCAACCCCCACCAGCTGTTGGGAAGCAGTGGTGGTGCCCGCCCCTCATCAGCTGAGAGGTGTTTAATCTACCCTGTTCTTAAAAAACTGCAGTGACAGGGATTCCACAACGTCCCTAGGTAACTGTTCCAGTCCTTAACTATCCTTATACTTCGATTTCCCCCCCTAATATCTAACCTAAATCTTCCTTGTTGCAGATTAATTACTTCTTGTCCTACCTTCCGTGAATGTGCAGAACAATTGTTACCTTTAATGGTCCTTAACATATATCAAGACTGTGATCTGGTCCCCTCTCAGTCTTCTTTTCTCAAGACTAAATATGCCCAGTTTTTTTACTTTTCTTCATAGGTCAGTTTTATAAACCCTTTCTCATTGTTGTTGCTCTCCTCTGGACTCTCCATCTTTGTAAAGCGTGGCACCCAGCATTGGACACACTACTCCAGCTGAAGCCTCACCGGGGCTGAGTAGAGCAGGACAGTTACTTCCCATGTTTTATATATGACGCTTCTGTTAAAAGATATATCAGATTAGTTTTTTTTCCCAACTGTATTTTTGACTCATTTAACTTTTGATCCCCTATAAGCCCCACATTCTTCTCAGCAGTACTAGCATCTAGCCAGTTATTCCCCATTATGAATTTGTGCATTTGATTTTTCCTTCCTAAATGAAATGGACTTCTGAATTTCATCTTGTTGAATTCAGACCAATTCTCTAATTTGTCAAGATCATTTTGAATTCTAATACTGTTCTCGAAAGAGCTTGCAACCCCTCCCAGTTTGGTGTCAATCTGGGAATTTTGTAGGGCAGGGGCAGATGACACCTCCATTGGCTATGGGGGAGAGGAGGAAGGAGGCAACTCCTCCAGCCACAAGGGGCACAGAAAGTGCCCCTCCAAAAGCAGCCACATTTTTATTTCTGTGCATGCCCCCGTCTGCACTCCATTATCCAAATCATTAATGAAAATATTAAATAGTACTGGACCCAAGTCTGATCCCTGTAGGTTCTCACTAGATACATCCTCCCAGTTTGACAGCAAGCCATTGATTACTGTCATACTGTCTGGAGTGATTTTCAGTTCCTGATCTGGGGCTCTTTTTTAGGGAGTATTCCCCTCTCTTTACATAAGTTTAATGGCTTTTGGGTCAAGACTCTCAAATGACAGTGATTCACTCATTGTGACTAATCTTTAGCTCTTAAAACTCTCAATATCAAGTTTAAACTTTTAACAGTGCTGGGATTATGATCTATAAACCCAATTTGACCTGTGGCATGTGAATACTGCCAAGACTAGGCCAACTGTCATGCTGTCTGGAGTGGTTCATGACCGTGAGTGCTAACCTCAGGGCAGATTGTCATGAAGCAGGACAGAGACCCCAAATTCGTTGTGTGTTCTGTAAGTAGATTTCACCAATCCAGTAACAAATGTTAACTGCTGAAGCACTATAACTGTCTTACCATGGAGTCACAGGCAGTCCCCATGGGCCTTCCAGTCTATCTAGCCACCCAGGGAAGCTGAACTTCGTGATATGATAGTTGGTTGCTATAAACCAAAGATCACAGTATTTTCAGGTTGCCCCCAGTCCCAAGAGACCATTCACTTACCCCAGGTCTATTTAATCTATCTATTAAATCTCTCAGCAAAGACAACGCTTGTAGCCAAACTTGTAATAAATTTTCAGTTAGTTTATTAACTAGGGAAAAAATTAATTACAAGGTTTAAAGCAGGCAAGCATATACACAAATGAGTTAGTCTCTGGTTTTAAAAGGTGACAGTGCTGTAGTAATCTGTCAGCTCTGAATGTCTTTCAGGGCTAACCCAGGTTGATTCTGGAGATCTCTGCTTCTGGTTCATAGCAGCTGTGGACCTGAAAGACTCTAGATAGCAAAAGAGATGAAAAAATGTCAGCTATTTTTATTTCCTTCTTCTAGAATTCAAGCTGATGACACAAGCCCTTTTGCATGTAGCCTCTTTATGGGTATGAAGGGGCAAATAAAGTCTTTGTATAGTGATGTCCCACAGTGGCCCATTTACTTTTGACAGGCCACCTTGATGGTTAGAAGAGAATTCCTCCTGACTGGGTTCACTGTTTCAGAGCAAACATTTTTTACAGTTATAAAGCAAAAAATTGTATTGCCTTATAGCATGTGATAAAGATGTTATAAGTGAGATTAATGTAAGCAGCAACTTACAAGCATTTCATAAAGACTAAACACATTGTTAATAAATTCAAAGACCCATCTTAATTATACCAGCACAGGTGAAACAGAGCGGTTTCCAGCAGTGAATCTGTCAGTGCTCAGCGGAGGCCTAAAGCCTTGGCAAGAGCTGGCACCTGGTCTGCCAGCATCACAATTATTCTTTCAATATAGTGTTTCAACCAGCTGTGCACTCATTTTATAGTAATTTTATCTTGACCCCATTTCCCTAGTTTGTTTATGACAATGTCATGTGGGATTGCATCAAAAGCCTTACTAAACTCAAGATATCAGGACTGCTGCTTCCCCTTATCCACTAGGACAGTAACACTGTCAAAGAAGCAAGCTAGGTTCGTTTGGCATGATTTATTCTTGACAAAATCATGTTGGCTATTCCTTATAACACTGTAATCCTCTAGATTGGTTAATAATTCATTCCAGTATCTCCAGGTATCAAACTGGTCTTATGTTCCCCAGGTCCTGTTTGTCCCCCTTTTTAAAGATAGGAAAACATAGTACCTTTCTCTCATCCTCTGGGAACTCACCCATTCCCCATCAGTTCTCAAAGAACTGCTAACCGTTCCAAAGTTGAGTCATATAATTCCTTAAGTATCATAGGATGAATTTCATCAGGCCTTGCCAGCTTGAATACATCTAATTTATCTAAATATTCTTTAACCTCTAATTGTGTTGAGTATCTGGTCACCATTAACCTTGTTACCGAAAACTGAAGCAAAATAGGGATTAAACACCTCAGCCTTCTTGGCATCTGCTATTAGCTCTCCTTCCCCACTAACTAGAGGACCTACACTTTTCTTCATCTTTCTGTTGCTCCTAATGTATTTGAAGAACCTCAGATTGTCTTTTATGTCCTTTGCTAGGTGTATCATATTTTAGGCTTTATCCTTTCTCATTTTGTCCCTACATGGTTGTACTATTCTTTTGTATTCCTCAGCAGTTCATCCCTGTTTCCACTTTTTGTAGGATTCCTTTTTGATTTTCAGGTAATTAAAGAGCTCTTGATGGAGCAATACTGGCCTCTTCCTATCTTTCTCTTACATTGGAATAGTTGGCAATTATGCCTTTAATATGGTCTCCTTGAGAAACTGCCAGCTTTCCTGTACTTCTTTTCCCCTTAGATTTTCTTCCCAGGGACCTTACCTAGCAGCCCTGAGTTTGTTAAAGTCTGTTTTGAAGTACATTGTCCTTATTCTGCTGCTCTCACTCCTTCCTTTCTTAAGAATCATGAAACCTATCAATTTCACTCAAATTGCCTTCTTCCTTCAGACTGGCAACTTATTCCTCCCGTTGGTCAGAGTCAACTCTAAAATGGCTTTCTCCAGGTTATTTCCTCAACTTTCTGAAACAAAGTTGTCCCCAGTACATTTGAAGATATTATGTTTTGTTAGATTATTTTTCTAACGGCTGTTCTGGAGAGGTAGAGTCACCCATTACTATCAGCTCTTGTGTTTTGGATATTTGTTATTTGTTCTAAAAATGCCTCATCCATCTCCTCTTCCTGATTTGGGTGGTCTATCGTAGACCTCTCCCTTTTATGCAGCTTAGCCAAGTCCCTATAAAGTTCTGGATGTTCTCTTCATTTGACTAAGTAATTGAGTCTACAAATTTTGTCACAGTACAGCGCCCTCCTTTTTCCTGATCACTAATAAATAGGGAGCACTACCAAAACAAATCAACTCCTCTTGAAGTTTCAGCTTTTCTTAGGCAACCATTATCCATGTTTACTCCATGGACATGTCCCTTTTCTGCTGAACATGCAGGAGTAAAATAATTTTGACAGAATATAAGGTAATTCTGTATTGAAATTAATGGGAAAAGCACTGGACTTGGAATGCCAATTTTAAAAATTCCAAATTAAAAAAAAGTAGTTAACTTGTATCTAATGCAAAAGTTCAGAATCTGTCTTAGCCTCTTACTTGCCAGGAAAATCAAAGAGTTGCTTAGTCTGTCTACACTGCAGCTGGGAGGTGCGATTGCTAGCACAGGTAGAAAGCTTCATGCTAGTACTGCTTGAGGTAGTGCACTAAAAACAGCCGTATGGACTGTGCTGCACAGATGGCAATTCGGGCTAGTCACCCATCCCCAAGCCTGGCCAACTCCCTGGGTTTGAGTGTAGATAGATAGTCTGAGCCGCCGCCCATGCCATAACATCCGCATTGCTATTTTTTATGCATGCTAGCTCGAGCGGAGTCTGTTTACTTGTGCTGGGAATCTCACCTCCCAGCTACAGTGCAGACATACCCTTTAAATGATTTATTGAGTAAATTAGGCAAGTCAAAAAGTAAGCAATGTGCTTTTAAAACCCACTCTTTCAATATAGACTTCTAATTTCCTTCCCCAGCCCCCAAACTCAATTCTGTCCCATTCATATCAGTTGCAGACAGGCATTTCTTTGTACCCAGGGTTCATGCTTGCTCTACACTACAAAATTTAAGGGCAGCAATTGTGCTATCTGAACTGGGGTTGAAGACTGTTTAGTTACAAATGCTAAGCAAGCCCTTACTTATCTATATAGTGTCTGAACAGTGTTAAAGGGTTAGTTGACAATCACATTTGTTAGTGTAGAGCAGGTCTGAAGAGTGTAATACTGGCTTGGTACCAGTAACAAGGGATAGCATGGAGACAAAGCAGCAAATACTGAGCTTGTGTACAAAGACTATACTCTCAAGATACATGCCCAATATAAACTAACATTCCCCTGCACACCTATTCTAGACTAAAAGAAAAGGAGGACTTGTGGCACCTTAGAGACTAACCAATTTATTTGAGCATGAGCTTTCGTGAGCTACAGCTCACTTCATCAGATGCATACCGTGGAAACTGCAGCAGTTTCTATTCTATTCTAGACTGTGAACTATTTTCCACAATGCTTAAGTTTGCTTTGCACTCATTCCTCTCTCTTGCAGGCAAAAGTGTATATTAATGTTACTGTGGCCAGCTGTTAAAAATGCTTGAGTAATGCATAGTGTCCATATTACAGTAATGCCCAAATTCACTTCCACAACTTAAAGTTGCACATTTACACACTTAGATAGCATTTGTGAGTAACTTGTGCAGTTCCTTCTTCAAAGATTTTGAAAAAACTAAAAAAGTGTTAACTTTCAAATTAACAACTGTATATTTCTACAATTTTCTAAACAAACCTTGTTTAGTACATGTGTATGATTTATACTTCTGTAGGGTTTAAGCTTTCACATATTATAAAGACCTCGGGGTAAAGAAGCCAGAAAGACAGAGACTTGTGTTACATCTCTGGTTACACAAGTCCATACGTATACTGAAATATGGACTTCTACATTTTAGTTTATTGCAAAGATATCGGATTTAAAAGTGATTTTTCAGTAAAATATCTGTATTCACCTTTTTAGGTTCTGTGGAAGACAAACATTTCTAGGCAACATTAAAAACTACAATATTTTTAGCTCTCTTTAGAATTAAACATCTGCAACTCTCAAGGAAAAATAAAAAGAGTAACACAACTGTACAAAGTGTCCACTATCACAGATCACTTATACACTACGTTAAAAAATACAAATATTTTATTACAAATTTTTTATCAAACTGTGTACATACAGTAAGTACTGTCAAAAGCCAACACATCAACTGTCATTTTATGTACAGTTGGCTAATGTTAATGTGACATGCAGTTTATCCTGAGCAATGCTTTTCTATCACTGTAAAGTTCCAATCTTTTAGACTTTTGGCAACAGTCAAGTAGTGACCATCCTGCACCAGCAATGACATTTCAGAGGTAAAGCAGTTAAGTATTATGTAGGGCAAAAGAGTTTTGCATTGCCAGGATCAATTTAAGCAAATGCATGTTTTCCTTGCTCCAAGAAGTGTCATCATAATGGACAATAAAGTGCACACAACCACCAGGAAAAAAAAACCCTGACTTTTCTCCAATCCCACCAATCCAATCCAATCCCATGTTATTCTACACGCTCCAAACATGTACTATAACATTAAGGATTTCAGACTCTGCCTCTGATGTCTTGAAATATAACTTCTGTGCAAGCTTAACTTTCTTTAAACTACATGAAACAATTCCATTAAGAAGAGAGTAAAATATGGGAAATTTGGAAAGCTGGCATATGGTGAGTAGGTCACTGTTAATATGTCCCAGATATACCATTTCTGAGGGTACATTTTACTTTTGACAAAGTGTTTTTAGAATATTTGTTTCATAAGACTATAGATCATACAAGTACAGCATGCAATATAATACTTTCAGTTATTTACCATTTACATCGTACTATTGCCAGGCACTCATACCCTCTATGGGCCACATAGCACTGCCTCTACCTGTAGTGTACCTAATTTTACATTGGCTTTGCTAGTGATGTTCTTGCATAACCTAGAAAAGAAAGCCACCAACATTTTAAATTTATTATGGGGTACCAGAAAGTGCTCCTCAAAAATTTCTTAATGTTGGCTTTGTTTTGTTACAAGTGGCATGGTAAACCTTATAAAAGTCAGAGCTGTCCAGGGTCTCAAGTTTAAAAAATTCTGTTTGCTTTGGATAAAAGAATACTTAAGTCATTAGACTATTCAGAAGCAACATTTGTGCAGACTAACTTACACTCCCAAGATAAACATGACAATTCACTTAATATATGGAGTGAACTGCTGGTAAAAATAATTGCACAATTACCACACAATCTAGTCACCAATAATAAAAGCAAATGTTTTGCATTTTACAGATATTTTTAAATCAGAAGTTCAGCCATTATCTGTGAAGGCATACTTCATATCTTAGGCACTAGACCCAACTTAGAGGTAAAATGTCTTGGTCAACATGATTAAGAGTCATCACCTATTCAAGGACATCCACATGAAGTTTACCTACAGTACTACAAATACATCAGATACTGCCATAAATTTAATAAGAATACAAAACATTATTAAATACATCTTTCACCTCATGGCACATCAAGCATGGTAACACCACTTGTTACACATCTGATTAGTAATGGTCAATTGTGGTTATGTTTTATTGAATACTTTCCTTTCTGTAACTGAGAAATATACAGTTTGGATTTACTTCCATCAGGCCTCTTAAACCACACTTCATCATGGTTAATTGTTGTAATTATGGCACTGAAAAGAAAAAAAAATAGAATTTAGAAACAAATGATCTTATAAACCAAAGGATCAGCCCCCCAAGTAGGGTGCTCTTTTGGAATACTAAATATTTGCATTAAGTAGTACTAGGCCCAGACAGCTACTGCCTCCTTCCTGATTATGTTGATATTTTAACAACAGAATTCTGTAGCTGACACTAAAGATACATGGACATATCTAGGAACACTATATCTTCACAAATAATTTTTCATCCAAGCATCTCTTGAATGTAATAAAAATGATAGTTCTAATGAATCTCAAACATTTAATTTGGTTAAATAAAGCTTTCATCTTCCCTTTTAATTTATAGGGTCTATAATATAAAATACAAATTTGTCTCATAGTACCTATTGAGAAAACCTTATCAATCCACCAATCTGAAGTGGGCTTCCTGAAAAAAAACCCAACAGGTCAAAAGAAATTGCTCTCCAGCATAGAGAAAGTTCGGAAGAACTTGTATTTAACTGTTAGCCAGTACATATATGTAAAGAAAAAACTGAATTGTTTGGCTAATTGAACTTTTCTTACATTGATTACTTAGTTAAACATTAATGCAAACACTTTTGGAGTTGTTTTTCCTCACTGTTCATTACTAGAAAGCAGTTTCAAGGCACATTCCATACTTTCCTTTGGACCACCTGCTTTAAGGATTAAAATATATACATATAAATATAATTTGATACTTGATTGCTAGTGGTGTGCCAGTTCAGTCATTATTACTTTGACAATCAGCTGAAGAGAATTCACGGAATCATGAAAATGTAGGAATGGAAGGGACCTCCAGAGGATATCTAGTCCATCTCCCTGAACAGCAGCAGGACCAAATATACCTAAACCATCTCTGATGGGTGTTTGTCTAACCTGTTCTTAGACAAAGATGGGGATTGCACAACTTCCCTAGGTAACAATTTCAGTACTTAATTTTTATAGTTAGCAAGTTTTTCCCAATATCTAACATAGATCTCCCTTGCTGCAGATTAAGACCATTACTTCTTGTCCTAACTTCAGTGGACCTGGAGAACAATTGATTACCATCCTCTCTACATATATGAAGACTATCATCAGGTCTCAAGACTAAACATGCCCAGTTTTTTAAAAACTTTTCCTCATATGTCACATTTTCTAAACCTTTTTTCATTTTTCTTGCTCTCCTTTGGATTCCCCCCAGTTTGTCCACATCTTTCTTAAAGGGTGACATTCAGTAGTGGACTCAGTACTCCAGCTGAGGGCTCAGTACTGAGTAAAGTTGGACAATTACCTCCCATGTCTTACATACGACATTCCTGTTAATATACCCCAGAATGATATTAGTCTTTTTCACAACTGCATAACATTTTTTACTCATATTCAATTTGTGATCCACTATAACCCCCAGATCCTTTTCTACAGTACTATTGCCTAGCCAGTTATTCCCCATTTTAAATTTATGCATTTGCTTTTCCCTTCTTAAGTGAAGGACTTTACATTTAATAAATTTAAATTGGTATTCTATTGTTATAAGTGAATTAATCAAGGTTAATTTTTTAATCACGATTAATTTGAGTTAATCACACGAATTAACTGCGATTAATTGACAGCCCTAGTTTTAGGCTATTATTTCAGACATATACATCAGCTGTCAAATTTTAAGTATTTTAATATTAAGATAACTAAGCCCCTACATTTATGTCATTTGGTACTTATGCTAGAGGAAGGTAAAAATAGATATCTAGAAGACAGTAGCTGGTTATCTTTTAAGATAGAAAATACCGATAAGTAACTGACATGGCAACAGCTGACTGAAATTGTAAGGCTGGGCTTTTCAATCACTGTACACAACTGTACAATGTATGCTATTGTAAATGGGAGAAGGCTATAATGACCTTTACCTTGTAGGGCACTCATCTTTCTTATCAATACATATTGTCTGTCCACGTCCATACCACTCTCCATCATAATATAGTCTTCCTTCTTCAGACCTAGCACTGTGCAGATGCTTTTCTAATTTGACAGGTGCTAAAATGATCAACAGAAATATTTATCACTAACCATGCAGATATTACAGTCAGGTTTATAAACTTATTTTCAAATACTTAGCTACATCAGCACATGCATATATGCTAAGTGTTTAGTTATTAAAAAAAGGGGGGGGGATTGCTACTTTGGGCAACAATCAAACTAAAATCTAAGATAGTTAAGAGAAGAGATGCTTTTTTCTTTTATCTCCTTATGTAGTGGGGTCCATTAAAAACTCAATTTCCATTTTCAGGTAAAATTAACATTGACCACAGTATCTGCCGTATTCCTATATCAATAATGGGAAAGTTTACAAACACCATGGTAACTGTGGTATATGGGGCAAGTCTAAGTATCAACCATTGATCAGATTTCTTCCTCTTTCTCCCCCCCCACACCCCTCAACTCTCCTCCTCCCCAATACAATTGTGTCAGTGTACTATGTCATTAACCACAATACTCCAACAGAAATTTGTCACTAACAAAAGCAACACCTACTTGCTTCCTCTTCTCTTGTGCCCCAACCACTTCCTCCTCATTTCCCTTTCTGCCTAACTTGGGCATCTAAGGTGAATATCACCTTGGTATCCAGACATTGTCCCCTTCCTCTCCCCCAAGTTGCTCTTCACTGACTCAGAGTAGCAGAGCATAGTGAAATGGGGACGCTCTCAAAACACTACCCGAAGCTCTGCTGGGGGAGGTAGAAGCTAGAGAAAAAGCATTAATATGCTGCACTGACATGTATCAAGCCAATCCAAGCCATTTCTCTATGGGTCTACTCCTTCTTCTGGTATTCTTTCACCATTTAAATATTAACCTTGATTTTAAAAACATTGCACCATTTAGAAGATACTGAGACTATAATGAAAATAACTATTTCATCAAATATATGTAAGAAAGTCAGTCTGTCAGTGGAGAGATCAACCCTATTGAAAAGCACAGAGCACAACAGTGCCTCAACCAAGGCCTGAGAGCTAGAAAGCAGCTTAGGGTATTTCTACACTGCAGCAAACACAAAGACACACACAGCAGTGAGTCTCAGAGCCCAGATCAACTAATGAGGGCTTGTGTAGCAGTGCTAAAAACAGCAGTGTAGATGTTCCCACTCAGGCTGAAGCCTGGGCACTGAGATCCATGCCACTCACTGGGTCTCAGAGACTAGGACCCAGACCAAGCAAGAGTATCTACACTGCTGTTTGCAGCCCTATGGTGCAAACCTGAGTCAGCTGACCATGTTTGTTTTTTCTTTTTGAAGTACAGACATACCCTTAAAGGTCTCTGGTTTCCTTTCCCCTCCTCAACCACTGTAGTCCCTGTTGTGTCTGACAAATCTCTGTTCTATCTAGATAAAAATCTATGCTGTTGTGCTTAATGAGTTTTGTTTTATGAAAACAGAATGTATTAAGCAGTGAGGTTTTTATGACTTACGTTCTGGCTTTACTCTGTGTGGCCCCAGCGTAGCCATTGCCTTAAAGTACAAAAAAGGAAAAACGAGAAAGTTAAGAGAGCTTACTTGTTGAATATTTATTTAAAATGCCTTAAGGAAAGCTTAATTGCAGTGCAGCTCTTTAATATATTAGCATTTACATATACATGTTTAAATGCTTGTTCTAAAAAAAAAAACAAAAAAAAAAAACAAAGTATTTTCTAACATTGAACGCCACCGATTAGCTGAATAAAAGCATGCAGAGAAACCGATCCATTATCTGCTTTAATGGGCTTTGATTTTAAATAAATCAGGAGCAATTATTTATACAATATTTTATAGCTGGTGTTACGTCACTCTGCAGGTTGCCAACCAAACCAAAGATCGCACGAATCAATAGCTGCCAGATAAAGATTTTGGAAAATGAAAAGCTCATTCAAAAAGCTATAGAAACAAGCCTCTGTTTAGCTCACAGTTGTATCCAAGTACATTCTACAGTTGTGTGTATAATAATCAGCTTTATTTTCTCTCGGCCATACTTAAGAGCTACTAGGGTGAAATTGTGTCTATGGTCTGATATTTGTTCGGCATAATTCCTGCTGTAGGTCAAGCAAAGCAATTTCCAACTTTATGTGTTGGACCCTCAATTGTGATGGATTTGCCCATGTTCCCTTCTACCATTCAGGAGCACAGTGGACATTTCTGCTTTGTTCACCTTCTTGCACATGTTTATCTCCTACCCACACCCACCTTCAGTGTCTTTTCTGTATATTTCTTAGCTGTATATTTTTCTATTTTGCTTCCCCTCCTCTGGTGCCACAGAAGAGGAGGAAGACAAGTTGGCTTTCAAATAGCCATCCAGTTTTATGTGCAGTCTAGGGAATACTTTACAGTTAGGAAGTGAGGTGGTTCCAATGTCATGAAGGTGTCCCTGTCCCGATTCTCTTCTCCAGCCCACTTCCCCTTGAACTAGTTTGGGGTTCTACAAGATGGGAAATACTGCTTATACGGCCTGGTGACTAGCTGGTTCTAGGTTTTATTAGGTCCCAGGACATTATGGCAGGAAGGAGGTTTTCTAGCTACTGGGGAAGTACAGTCAGGTTAGACAAGTGGTTCTCAATCTATTTACCACTGTGGGCCATATGTGAGGCCCACAATGCGTTATGTGGGCCGCATCCAATACTACCTCTGTGCCCTGAGGATGTCACATGGGCTTCAGCTCTGTGCTGATTGGGCCGCAAGCAGCCCACAGGCTGCAGGTTGAAAACCACTGGGTTAGACTCCTGCCTAGAGTCCCAACTGCCACACCACCTTACCAACATCTATGGCACGATGAAATATGTTGTGACAGAGCAAAATAAACTGAATTTACTTTCATTCATTTTCACAATTATAAAATGTTTTTGAAATTTTTAAAGAAGCTTCTGCAGATTTTCCAGCATAGTGTACCAGAGTAAAACAGAATTTAGGTCCAGCTTGTTGTAGAGTAAGCCAGGCCTTCACTATGGCATTCCCCATTTTACAGATTAGGAACTGAGGTGAAAAGGCTAAGGGTATGCCTACACTGCAACGATGACACATACCCACCCTGCAGCAGCGAGTCTCAGAACCCAGGTCAGCTGACTTGGGCTCACAGTGTCGGGCTAAACATGGCAGTTTAGATGTTCCCGCTTGGGCTGGCGCCTGGGCTCTGAAACCCAGCAAGGAGGGGTGGGTCTCAGAACCCAGGCACCAGCCCAAGCAAGAATGTCTACACTGCTATTTTTAGCCCCCTACAGAGAGCCCCCAGGAGCCCAAGTCAGTTGACCCAGGATATGAGACTCCCTGCTGCAGGGTTCTCTGTTCCCGATCCCACCCCGTTCTTTGCTGTAAAGACCTACCCTAAGAGACATAGCCAAGGTAAGACTACTCAGTATCAGAACTAAGTTTAGAATGCACATCACTCTATTCCCATGCCATAACTATCAGACTTCATTGCAAAAATACTATTTAGCAATATTTATGCTCTCGATTATTTTAATGGAAGCTTACCTACATATCTGTAAAATGTATGAGAACAGGGCAACAAAACAATGCTTTTGACATTCATCCTCCAATCATACCTTCCTTATTGTTGTCCAATCTTCAAGTATATCGAGGTCCTGTAACATATAAACTATATAGGGACGTTGAAAAGTTAAGGGAATCACTTTTAACATTGAAATTAGCATAAAAGGTCTACAATCTTCATAATTTGAAGTGACTTAGTGACTCTATTCTGCAACTGCTCCACACACAGAATTCCAAATGAAGTGAAAGAGCACTGCAAAAATTAGGTCGAGAGAGACACACAGTGTACAAGTGTCACTTAAGTTTCCTAGAAGCTATCATATTTACAATTACATTAAGGTTGTTACTGCAGCACACCACAGGGATACAAGACTACAACAGACATTATATACCCATTCTGTACTTGACAGACACCAAAACAATCCTTGTTTCTTGTACTCCAAACAGAATAAATCAATCCTGGCAGCTTATTTTTCTACAATACTGAAAGCAAGCATCTAAATTAACATCTCCAGTGCAGTTTCTTAGTGATTCTAAATCATATACTATTACATAGAAAAAACGTTAAGATTGAGAAATCAAGTATCTGAAAGACTGGAAATACTGAGTTAAAAAGGTTTGAAAGCTCTACCTTAAAATATCAACTCTGTACCATAAGTTGTTAATTACTACAATATACACAAATACAAAACAGAATTTTATACACACTACTTTACAAAAGTCTTCAGATGTGTCTTGTTTTTTCAACCCCAGCAAGCTCTATAACACAAGGCAAGTTTGAAGAAGTGGATAAATTATGAACGTTTAAAGTTAAATCGCCCTGACTTTGAAAAACACATTAGTTTTGAAGCAGTTTGAGAAACTGGAAGAAAAAGTTTAAATTGTTGAAATTAAACATTCGTTACTAATTAACACTTTTAAAAAAAACTTTATTTTGTAGTTCTCATTCAAGTCAAGTCAAGTTCAAAGATTGTAACTTACTGAAAGACTAAGAAATTCCAATATGCATTATATATTGTGTTAGACAAATTTAACTAAACTTTAAGAAATAAGCACCAGACAGCAAATTAACATGGATCTCTCTCTGTCTATAAAAATAAGAAAGAACTGCCAGTGTATCTTGTAATTTGAATCTACTTGGCTTGACGACTCCAGCACACAGCCATCCTGCACATGAATACTTGGAAATTTATACCCCCTAATTTCTTTTAGTAATTCCTGTATTAGAAGACCAGATGATAGCGTTACATCCAAACAACTGAATAACCACCACTTAAATTTCTGGCACTAGCTAAAAGCATCTCCACTAAGCTGAATTTATGATAATGCCATCCTAACTGAGTAACATTTATTACTATCCACTGTCATTACGACAGGTCATCTTTCTGGGAAATATTCCAATAAAACAGTAGTCTTGATGTGGTGTGTCCCAATTAGAGACATACAGAATGAAACAGACAGCAAGAGACTTTAAAAAAGAAAGCCACAACTTTAACTTCACTTTGCTTTTAATTTTAATAGAGGGACCTAAATACCTCAAATATCATGCGTTTTGAGTCTGATGGTTAAATGGCCTCCATGCTAAAAAAAATATTTAGGGTTGATTCCCTTAGACCTAACTCCTAGGATTCAGCCCACCTTTGAATTCTCTCATCCTCCCCTGCAAGGGGGAAGTGAGGGTGCATCTGAAGGGTAGTACAAAGACATTAGACCTTCTCCCATTCCTCCAGGCTAAGAGGGTCTACCAATCATCTCCTGGGTTTTGTGTTTACTTCTGGAAGCTTGCATTGGACATCAGCTGTAAACTGTGACAAAATTATGAATTCACTGCTTTTGAATCTTGTCCTTACTCCTTATTAACCTAAAGCCTGCAAACATTAGCAATCCTGACCTCTGGAATTTAAAATATGCAATCAAAAACTGATAAAACAGAGGGCTCTTAAGCCTTAAGAATTAGACGCAGTCAGTAAACAAGGTAAAGAACACTCAAGATATGGAGTTAAATTGCACAAGCTACAGAACATAGTACAAGAAAAGGTCAACAAGTAAGTTACTTTCTGCATAGTGTAACTCCCTTTCAAAAAGTTACCTGAAGAGGGGCATCTTTTGTCCAAGTTTTACCCCATTTTTACTCCACAGTTGAACATTCTACTATCATCCAAACTCAACCGCAATGTCATATTAAGCCTTCTCTCTCCCCCTACTGCCAAATTCTGTCATTTTATTTCACTGGAACTAGAAGTGTGTTTGGCACTGTACAAAACAAATACAAATCTTTGCCTCTGAAGGTTCCACCTCTGACATCTCCACAAAAATCCCAACCTTCTACTTCTAAAGCAAAGTCCAGATGTTGGTCATTTTACCTTAATTACTGCAACCTCTTTCTCTAGTTTTCCTGCTTCTGACAGGACTACCTTTCAGCCCCCCAAAAATACTACTATTGATCATGTCAGTCTTCAAATTGCTTCTCTACTATTCACAAATTCAAGTTTCTAATCTTCACCTTCGAAACACCAACTACAACTCCACCTACATTCATTTCATCTTCCTTTTACCTACATCTCCAAAGCCGTCCTCCAGAATCATTCATTTCATCCTCTATCTCCTGAGCCTTGTATCATGCCATCCTTATGCTTTTAACTCCTTACTTATCCTTGCATCCTAGGAAGCTACCATTTTCATTCAAATTTATCAATTTCTTAAACTTCTGAAGCATATCAACCTTGGACTTTAGTGGCTTAACATTATCAGAAAAATGGTTCTCCATTTCTTGGAGATGATGTATCCATTGTCCCATCATCTTGCATAGAATGTGCATGGAACTGTATGTTTTTTAAATTAAAGATTGCAAACTAATGACACTACTTACTAGACATATAAAAAAATGCTTTGCTATCTTACCAGAAAAAGTTTAGGCAGAGTTTTTAAAAGACTAGAATTTGGGATTAAATCCCTCTTATTTTACAAGATTACTGTCAATGGCCAGTAGAATTAGTTTCCAAATTTTATCTAATTTAGAGTATTCTCTGTGCCTTCTCGCTTACTTTTTGCTTACTTTCCCTTAAACCTTTCCTTGAATCCTCTCCCTTCACTCCCAAATTGTTCTGTAAGCATGTTTAGAAAATGCTTTTCCTCTTTTTGGTCTGCGTTACTCTCACTGTTATGATTGCTACTATGTAACAACTTCCTTCCTCTGTTTTTGCTGCTTGGAACTGATGACATGGATCAGTGTATTGAAACAAAGTCACAGCAGAAACCCGGGTGACGTGCAAGAATTCAATCTCTTCTATTCTGGAAGTGGAAAATTAGATGGAATTAAAAAACAGTCACTTTTGCAATTATTCAATAGTGAAACTAGTATTTTAAAAACAGTGATCTTAATCTGGATTTTCAAGATCTCAGAAGGTGACCTTTCAACTAGATTTCCGTCACCACAATTAGAACAAAATCTGTCTGCCAAGAACAGCAGTAAAAAAGTATTTATTAAGCATGCCTCTAGAGTTGAGCTATCTTTCTTTTTCAGTGAGAGGCTATCAGCAGCCTAGCAGCTACTAGGAGATCAGAGATTGTTATGGAAAAACTAATACACCAATTATGTACCCAAAAAATAGACAAAGGACAAATACTTGCATATTTGATTACCATTTATTCAATACTCAGACAAGATACAGTCACCTGCAAAAAAACCCAGCACACCTGTCCAATTCTTTTGAAATATTAACATTTGATATACATGCTTGGTCTGTAAATTTGTATTCAGAGACTTCACTGTATTTAATAAAAATCACTGGAAGTGACATGCCATGGAATTTGTAATCATGCTCACTCTGATATGGTAGGAATTTGTTAAATACAGGGATATGACAACTATATAACTGGATAATGTCCCTCTAAACAAAAGTTTGCTGTTGTAAATGGTTTGTTACTGATATTTACATAGCAAGGATTTGCAAGCCTGTTAAGACTTCCTAAACATAGTAAAAAAATATATTATTGCTTTAGCAGACAATATAACAGGAGAACATGTGGTAAGAAGGCTATAAAAAACAAAATGTTGCACAGACAAGAACGATAGAAAAAGGATATCTGATATGACAACTGGTTTCTTTTTATCTGGACTAAATGGATCCTTCCTTTTTTTCCTGGACTGTAGTTCATCATTCCATAACTCTGAAAAAGTATAATAAGAATGTTACAATTACATTCATTAATTTGATGTTTAACTCTTTTACAGTAAAAAAAAATTGACAATGATATAAATCAAATTTTCTTGATATATGCTCTTTGTGAGAAGAATGGTAATTGTCACATTTTAATGTGCCTATATTTTGTAGGCCTTTAATTTTGGCAGACAGATAAAATTAACAGATTTTCACCATAGCAGACAAGGCATGGTGACATTAGCTCTGACAGCAGATTGTATCTACTTTAAGTTCATTGAGGCTTAGAATAAAGTCTAAAATACAATTAACAGCATTCCACAATGTGATGAAAGGCTCTATAGATGCAGTACTTGCATATAATTGACCCAACAGTTAGCTTCCAGGTTTCAGAGTAACAGCCGTGTTAGTCTGTATTCGCAAAAAGAAAAGGAGTACTTGTGGCACCTTAGAGACTAACCAATTTATTTGAGCATAAGCTTTTGTGAGCTACAGCTCACTTCATCGGATGCATACTGTGGAAAGTGTAGCAGATCTTTTTATACACACAAAGCATGAAAAAATACCTCCCTCAACCCCACTCTCCTGCTGGTAATACCTTATCTAAAGTGACCACTCTCCTTACAATGTGTATGATAGGCCCACAGGAGAGTGGGTTTGTGTGTGTGTGTAGAGGGGGGGAGTGAGAAAACCTGGATTTGTGCTGGAAATGGCCCAACTTGATTATCATACACATTGTAAGGAGAGTGGTCACTTTAGATAAGCTATTACCAGCAGGAGAGTGGGGTGGGGGGAGGTATTTTTTCATGCTTTGTGTATATAAAAAGATCTTCTACACTTTCCACAGTATGCATCCGATGAAGTGAGCTGTAGCTCACGAAAGCTTATGCTCAAATAAATTGGTTAGTCTCTGAGGTGCCACAAGTACTCCTTTTCAGTTAGCTACCAGATGACAGACATGACAATTTTCTGCAATATCCTTGAACAGCCTTATTGAATCAAATTTAACTATCTTTGGAGTCCATTGTATTAAATGCAAAGGTATGTATTATTATAGGTCAGGATTACATGTAACTTTTCACACGGGGGGAGGAGAGGGGTGAGTGAGATGGGATGTGAACCCAGGCACATTATGAACTTCAAAAGGACTATGTTGAGCAATGTACCAGACAAGAATGGACTTTTGGGACAAACAGTATCAAGTGTTTGCCTGTGGAATCTCTACAGATGAATGCAATTTCCCACTTGCAGTTATGCAAAAATCCAGCCTGTTGAAATTACATCCTGAAGAGGGGACCATTGTCTACTGATTACCTGTTCCCAGAACCCAAAGATCAAAGGCCCAATTGATATAAAAGAAAAGACTAACCTATTCATGGGTGTGCTAGTTCTAAGGTAAGGCTGCTATGAACTTGTGACCGCAGAAAAAATGCCTTTGTGAAGTATGAAGGATTGACTCCTACCATAGCCCTGGTTGGAGATGGGGGAGATTTCTGGTAAGCTTATTGGTATACGTGCAAGTTCTTTTCTTTTCTGTAATGTTTTCTCTGTAATGCCCTCACTTTAAGAATAAATGTGATTGCTTATAAATGACTGTGTGGTAAATTGTGACTACTGGCAATTACAGTTGCTCGTAGTCTTTGTAGAGAAAGCAAAGCAGAGAAAGAGACCTGCTTAGGTAGTCTGGATTGATGGGGAAATCATAGTGTAGACAGGGAACTCTGCAGAAGGGAAAAAACCCAGTCAGGAGGGAGAGAGAGATGTGGGTATTTGCCCAAGAGAGGTGATGGCTGAGGAGCCTAGAGTGGGTGCTCTTAATGGCCCATGGAGGGACAGTACAGATGCAGCTGCCCTGAATTGTGACAGCAAGTCATTAAAAATCTTTCAAATCCTATTTACCTGAGGTAATGTCAATGCTATGCCTGTCTTCTTCTAACCTTCTGATCTTCTCTTCTAGTTCACTTTGTACAGTATCATACAACAAGAGCTTCTCACTCTGAAACAAAAGCAAGAAATTATAACTTATGCATTCATGCATGTTTATCAACTAAATGCACTTGACATCGACTAGTTTAGAAGCTCAGGTGCAACATGATAAAAGTAGCTTCTTATGCATTTAGATACAGCCTTGAAACATAAGCCACATTTTGAACCTGATTCCGAGTCCCTCATCCACCTGCTTTTTCAGTGTGATGTCCCAGCCCCTTAAAGCTTACACTTATTCCAGATATTTCATGTGGATGCAAGATATACAGATATCAAATATGGGTGCATGTGCTGAGGATTTGAGTGGGACCATAATAAGATGTAAAGGAAGCAGCTAGATCTCCACCAGAATGTTCTCTAGTTGGACATTATCTCCCCTCATGACTGTCTGATGAAAGACTCACAATGGAAAATAGAGAAGATGGTACACCCATCACTCATGCTCTTCTCAAGATATGAAGTAGATCTAAAGCAAAAATGGAACACAAGGAGCACTGAAAAGAGTCTATTGATTAGGTCAGGATAATGAAGAATAAACCTGAATGAATGGTAGTTCTTACCAAATTGGAGGAGCTTAGGCTGTGGGTCAAGGACGTGGATCGTGTGCATTGGTCAAGACTTGCCCACTCCTTCAGTCATATAAAGTCACATCCAGGAACACAGGAAATACCAGAATGGATCAAATACATGGTCATTATAGTCCGGTATCCTATCTCCAACCAAATTCACTGTGAACTTCATATTCAGAATGTACTCTGTAGCGGTGTGCAGATTCAACTGTCTATTTTAGACCTGGTCAAGTTTTCCAAATTTGTAAGTAAGTTTTATTAAAACGTCCCCATTTTTCAGCAAGGTCTAATCTTTGCAGGGTGGATAAAAATCAATGATTTAAAAAAAAATCAGATTTTTTGATAGATTTTTTTCCTCAAAAAGCATTTTATATAAAGATAAAGATATATTATAGCTCAAAATATCTCAACATGGAATAGGGATTACAAATTCTAATTCTATAGTAGGAGACAATATATTCATGTAATGTTTAAGAAAAGTTTTGTAATGAGTTCCAATACTTCATGGATTAAGGACCCAATCTTATTAGGGTCCACAGGCTTCTGTATAGATTATTTAGGTTAATTTTTCTATCTACCCAATGGGACTGGGTATCTTCTAGACTGAGCACTATCAGAGATGCTTAGTTTTGCTGTACTCAAACTGTGGATTTGTGTCTCCAGAGGTAACATACTTGTTAAACAGCAAAAATGTTTTAAATAAATAAAAGAGGTGAGAAATAACAGACCTCAACTCTATTGTCCCTCTGCAAATTTATGTACACAGAGTCAATCCCTTACCTCTCTCTAAAAGTGCAAAGTTTCAAAAAGTTCAATGAATAGAAGATTGTTGGGGGTGGAATAGATCTGGACAAGGAGAAGAAGTCTGGAGATAAATGTGAGAAGCGAGGACCATATGCTTGTTTTGTTAAAATATTATATGTTTGCTGTTGAGAAAAAAATCCAGAATACATAACATTGTTGTTTTAGTTAAATAAAACAATTTAAATGTCTGTCTGGTGATGTTCTCCTCCTAATACAGCATGGCAAGAAAATCTTCCAAATATTAATGATTAACCTGTTGAATTGGAAATATTTATGAAGTCACTGGGAGGTGAACTATCTGCTTCAATTATCTTTGGTAAATGAAATAACCAAAAATCATTCATTTTCTGATATAGCTGTAAAACTAATCTGAAAAGTTTAAAAAAACCAACAATTTAAAAATGTATAGTGTGTACCTTCTAAAAATGAAACCTACATCTCTGAGTTGTGAAGAATATATACAAGAATGCACTTTTATGTAGAAAACCATGATTAAATTGAGTCTTCCTGACTAGTGAGTTAAATCAAATCCACCCTTAATCTTTGTTAACTAAAGTACTAGTAACAGCTAGATTCTCTTATAGAATTGTAGTAACAATTGTCCTCTGTACTTTGTGTGCAAATGAAAAAATGACTGCTACAATAGAAATATTTTGTGTCCAGAATAATGCAACCTAGATTTAAACGTGTTGAACTAAAACAGTCCTAAATCTGCAGTGACATAACCATACAATAGTTTAAAACGTAATTTAATTAGCACTTTTCAAAGGGGATATAAAAACTCTATCACCATTTGGTTCCAAATATATTAATGGCTTATCTTTAGTTATAGATATTATACTAGCTCCTTCCTTCATCGACAAACAGAAGCAGATACATACACAACCCTGGATTCTCTACATAATCCAACAAATACTTCAGCTGCTTTCCCATCCCTCAAGGTTGCTGGCTTTAAAGTTTTTTAAGTTAATTTATTTAAAGGTCATACCATGGATTTTATTTACAGAATAGTACATATCTGACACAATAATTATAAACTGCTTAGATATAGCAATTAGACTTTTAAAGACATTTAAAACAGTATCTGAAATCTCAGTCCTTCTACAAGTCATTAACAAAGAGGAAACACTCACTAGTCATGTTCTCCTTTATCTACAATAGCACTTGAGGCAGTTCAGTTGGCTGAGAAATTATCTGGTATCAAACGATCAGTTTCTACAGCTGTACCTAAAATTTCAGTGGAGTTCATTTCTTCTGTAATATAAAGGCTTGGATTGCCTGATTTGATTTATGAGACTATATCAGATTCCCTGTTGTCAAAGATATCCAAAATGTAAAGAAAAAACAGATGAACCAGAAAAAAATATGAAGGAAATACAAGAAAAGTTGGAGGCTTTGGAAATTCAAGAAGAAATCACCAAGATGTTTGCTCAATTCCTTATTAAGGATAAATTGCAAAGATGTAGATAAAATCTCTTAGAAAAGGAAAAAAGTTATCTTTACCATCACTTTTAATTATACAAAATACTTATAATTCTAAATGGGGGTTAAATTTATGTGAACACAGTAAGTCTGTTTCACAACTTCCTATTGTAATTTCTATATCGGTGAATGAAAGAGATTAAGGACTTATGTCGGTTAATGTTAATAACCTACAGTGCATTTAAGCTCCTGCTGGTGGGGACAGAGCAGCACGCTCTTAGAAATGTCCCCTTCCCCTTATGCGGCGTGTGGTCATGCCAGCTGGGACAGACCCACATCATTCTCGGAAGTACTGGAAACGCTGATATTCTGGGAATGCATGAGTAGCCATCCCCCTAGAACCCTCCACCAGCCCCCACTTATCCTGAGAGCCCCCACAAACATCCCAGCATCCGTGACATACATCCTACTCATGGCAGCTCCACCTACATCCCCCAACATCCCCCATTCCTGTCACAGCTCCCAACATCTGCCACTCATTGCCACTCACCCTGCAGCCGCCGCCGCGCCCCCCCCCCGCGCGCAAACACTCCCACTCATCTAACAACCGGTCACCAACTCACCCCCAACCCCTCCCCAGGACCTCCCCAGACACTCACCAGTGTCCTCCCAGCTCAGCGCTCCGCTCCCATCCCGGTCTAGGGAGGCTCTGCCCAATTCCAGCAGATCTGCTCACTATCATCACCCACCCCGCACTCCATGGAGCAGGCCAAATTTGAGTGATGAGTGGCTTTGCGACCCTGTGCACCACATCATAACACTACCCATCCAGTGACTGGGGCCACGACTGAGATGGGGGCCTTGTGCAAGCGCACTGCGTGCATTTTGAGTGCTTTAGGACAGGCCTGGATTAACCAAAGGCAAGGCTCTCAGGGGTGGCAAGGACACTGAAGGGGACTGGATTTGGGAATTTGTTTTCAATGGGTTTGTAACTCCTGTGACTTAGGTGAAGCGTGTCAGATTTCTTTGCTAAGCCTGTGCTTTACTGCCATGTTATCCCTGAAGGGTATAACAAGGAAATTGGAGCACCTATAGCTAGGTGTGGGGGGAGGAAACAAAGACTTGTCTAACAACTGGAGGGTCAGGAGGGCTAAGGCACTGGGTTTGGAGTGTAGGCAGCAAGACTGAGGGTCCCACTGCTCAAGAATGGTGGCAGACATGAGGGAGTATGCTTCAGAGATACAGAGCTCGGAGCAGTGATCAGTCACTATCCAGACCCAGGAAGCTTAGAAGCACATGGGATTCAATCTCAGTAGACTGATGTCTATTCAGAGATGGACGAGATCAGGCTGTGACAATTTACATCCAGGTAAACAGGCTATAGTATCCAAATATGAGGATCCATATTAGTCCAGACATTTCAAATATTATATGCACTCACAGAAATAAGCTTTTGTTTTTACAAGCAGAATTTCTATCTCTGGGTTTAAAGGTTTTGATACTTTTTTCCACCTGAACAAGGATCAATAGAATTAATTATTTTACAACTTGGTCTACGCAAATACTTTTCTATCTATTGCTGAAATGATCAGAGATTCTACTGAAATAGAAACAGATGTCTATTTCTCTAGTACTGTATCAATTTTTGAATAGTGACATTATTTTCTTCCCATAAGCTGTTTTTAAAAATATAATTATTGCAAAATGTGACTACTATATTTATGGCAGAATACCACTAACTATTTTCTCGGATGCCTAGTATATAAGAGAGATTCCAAAAATGATCGGAGGTCTTTTCAATCTTAGACAGGCCCTGTTAATGAAGGTAAGATTAATATTGTTTATGTAAACCAAACTGACACCTAGCTGAGGTCTCATTTCTTTAAGTTGTTAAGGATGTAACTTTCTTTATCGTTTCAAAAGAAATACATCAAAATATTGAAGTTATAGCAAAACTACAAACTTAAAATGTACCGATCTTGGAAACTGTTGCACACCCATTAAGGACAGACTTGATTAGCCACTCGTTTAAATAAGTTGACAATACCTCACAGTGTTGGCGAGACGCTTGAATTTCACATTCATATTTGTTCTTTACAGACTCTAAACAGAGCTCTCTATAGATACCTGCAACCAGACAAATTACAGCGTTATTACTTTTTTAAAAAAATAGGAGTAACGAATTTCAAAATTATCTGTTAAGATCACTATTGCTAGTCCTACAGTAATGCACATATGCAAAAAAAAACCCAAAACCTATTTTACATATTGACAGTGTTCAGACAGTACACAGAGTATAAAACTTGTATGGAAAAATAACTGACTGAACTCAAGAGGCTGCAGAGAAAACTGTTCTCAATTTTGTTCATTTCTGTATTTATGCAGACTAAAAGTTTATCTTGCTGGCAATATAGGTGGAAAAGAAACTAATGTAAAATTCTGTCAGTGCAACACAAGATAGACTTACTATGTTACAGCTTTGCCACTTCTGGCTGAGATAACTTGGTGCATTGGAGGAAGACAGTTTCAAGCAGAGAGCGCAACATTTAAAAAAAAAAAAAAAAAGCACATGTATGTGCATGCAGTGCACTAACATAATGAGGCCACAACCTGGCTGAGGTCTCTAAGTGCTACTTCAGTATTATGTTTAATAGTAATGAATGGGAGGCTAACAATAATACAGTAATTAATAAGGCAGGAGAAGAGGGCAAAATGTACCCAGCCAAAGTCAGTAATTCTTGGGTATGACTATCCGTTTGGTGGTCTCTAGGCTGTTGTCAAGAGACAGGGGCCACATCACAAGCCGCCAGAACCACCAATCTTGTGGGCAATCTTATGAGATAGGCCAATTCAATCTTTGGCCTTCACAACATACCATGCTTAAAGTATAATGGGGTCCAAAAAAGAATTAGATGAGTTCATGGTGGATAGATAGCTCCATCAATGGCTATTAGCCAAGATAGTCAGGAACAAACACCATGCTCCTTAAACTGCTGACTGCCAGAAATGGAACTGGACAACAGGGGATGGATCACCTGAGAAATTGCCCTGTTCTGTTCATTCCCTTGAAGCATCTGGCAGCAACCACTATAGGAAGACAGGTTACTGGGCTAGATGGACCAATGGTCCAACCCAGGATGGCTTTTCGTGTGTTCACCTATGTGACCTAGGAGGACAAGCTTCTTGCTTGAAAAGCACAGAAACTGAAGTGCCCTTCAATTCCTATTAGTGGTCCATGTTGTATCTCTTCTCTAAATGGAGAACTTGAATCTCCTGGATAGTCTCTTGTGGTTTTCAAAAATCACTGAATTCTCTGTAACCTCAAATTCTATTTGCATCCATTTCTGCTCATATAAGTTTTCAATTAAGGGGTCTGAATAGTTAAAATAGAAGTAAAAACTGTCTTATGCCAGTACATTTGTTTGCAAATTCAGTTGGTCTTTCACAAAGCACTTCCCCAATTAATGAGTACAAATTAGCAATTTCTCTACTGCCAAGAAAAACAGTCACTTTTAAAAATTAAAAGGGCATTTTACATGCTGATTTAAATAACCACTTTTATTTTTTTAAAAAAATTCCTTACTGTGTCAGCAAATATTAGCTTCTAAAAACTCTTGCAGCCTGCTTCTCCAACCCTCCCTACACAACAGATAATGTCAGATTAACATCTTAATCTAGCAATAAGAGACCTAGAATGAACAATTTCTATCACTGAATTATATCCCCATCTAACACTGAAGAGTTAAGATGTTAGAAGACAAATCATCATGTTTCTTAAAATTATCTTCTCATGATCAGTGAACTATTTACCAACAAAACATCTTTTCAACTCACTTTTGGGTAATGAGAATATAGTATGGGTAACAGTTTCAGATATTAAGTTTAGAGTTTAAGAAATAGCGTTACTATAAAATAAAACTGAAATAAATGCTATTACTGATTAATGGGGCATGATAATACAGCACTTCTTATAGCCCTTCTGATTCAGGCTCGAATTAAAACTCCAAGTTAGCGGAGGTCACCTGCATACCGGTGTGAAACAGCATCTCAGCAAGTTGGCTAAAGAAGTGAAGAGGCTGATAAAGTGTGCTGAGAAAAGATTTGGGCTATTTGTTTTAAATCTTTTACCATTTGTTTATAATCTCTCTGGTTCCTAACTGACTGATGGCTGTGTAGCCCAAGGTCCAGTTTATTTCAGCGGCAGCAGTAATAACTATAAGTGGACTACAAACTACTGCATGTTGGGAAAACTTCCTGGGTCCTGCCAGAAGTACCCTCTGCCTTCCCAGCAGGAAATTTTAGCACTGAAGCAGGGAGCCTGAAGCAAGCAATCCTTATGTTTCCTTACAAAATAAAGCTTTGTTTCTGGTGGTTTGTCTGAGCAGGTCTTGTCTGAGGTGACCACAGGCTGGCACACAACACAAAGCACACTGAGGAATCTCAAGCCGAGTTCTCCAAACCCTATTCTTGTACAACCGCAATAGATATAACAGTAGGGGATTTGGTTCGAACAACCAAAAAACTGTTGAGCTGTATGCCAAGTACCATGACAATTTAGAAAACTTCTGTAGCAGAGAATGTAACAACCTGTTTAATGTATTAAACATGAAAAGCTTCTCAAAATTATCCAAGTTTTCCTCTCCAAGAAGTAGAACTATGTGTACCTGTATTTGGATGATTCATATAAGGGTGGTGTTCCTTAACACTGAGAACAAGACTACTGGCTGTATGCTAAATATCCTAACCCTGGAAAACGTTGGTATGTGCATGTATGGAAGATCTTGCACTTTTCAGAGGACAAATCACAGTATTATAATGCAAATGAACTGAGCAGCTTTCCTCTTCAAAGAATTTGCTCAAGAATGAGGTCTAATATATTGCTTTATGTCAGCACCTTTCATAGTATCTGAGTTGCTATGTCAGTTTTCTATGATCCCAGCCAGGGGCAGCGAGTTGCATGGGCCTGTGGTGCCCAGGCTCCATGAATATTCAGTGCCGGATCTCTCCCCCGACCCCGCCTGCCACCCCCATACACCACCCAGCCCCTGGGCGATTTAAAAGGGCCAGGGGGTCCCGTGCTGCCGCCACCACCAGCAGCTCAGCGGGACTGGCCACACTGTGGGCAGTGCAGTCATGCTTTATCGCCGGGGAAGAGCTCTCCCAGCAATAAAAAATAACCACCCAGAATGAGCGGTATGCGCTGTCTATACTGGTGCTTTTCAGCGCTAAAATTTTTGTTGCTCAGGGGGGTGTTTTTTCACACCCATGAACAACTAAAGTTTTAGCGCTGAAAGTGGCAGTGTAGACATAGCCTAAGGCGGCTTCCTGCCTGCCCACTCCACGCTGCTCCAAGAAGTGGGCAGCATATCCCTGCAGCCCCGGGAGGTGTGTGTGGGGGTGTCCTCACGTGCTGTCCCTGCCCCGACCACTGAGCCACTGCCAGAGGGGTGTGCAGCTCGCTTTCAGGAGCTGGCACCGCCCCAGGTAAGTGCCGACCCCCTGATCCCATCCTGCATCCCAACCTCCTGCCCCCTCCCAGAGAGTCACCATTGATGCAGTGTCAGTGTGGATACTGTGTTGCTTACATCAACTGCTACTGGCTTTCAGGAACCATCCCACAATGCCTCACACTGACAATAATATTGGTACAAGCACTCCTAGTAAGGACACACACTGCCAACACAAGTAGCCAAGCGTGCATACACACACAAGTGATTTGATAATTGCAAAAAGAAAAGGACCTTAGAGACTAACAAATTTATTTGAGCATAAGCTTTCATGAGCTACAGCTCACTGCATCAGATGCATGCAGTGGAAAATACAGTAGGGAGATTTTATATACACAGAGAACATGAAACAATGGGTGTTACCATACACGCTGTAACAAGAGTGATCAGGAAAAAAAAACCTTATGCTCAAATAAATTTGTTAGTCTCTAAGGTGCCAAAAGTACTCCTTTTCTTTTTGCGGATACAAACTAACATGGCTGCTACTCTGAAACTTGATAATTGCAGTGGTTGTATTCTGATGTAAGTTAGATCAACATAATTTTGTAGGGTAGACATGGCCTGATAACATAACTTGTGCAGGGAATGCAGGAAAAGTAGATTCCAAGAGTTTCTTCTAGAACAGTGGTTCTCAACCAGGGGCACGCATACCCCTGGGTATACTCAGAGGTATTCCAGGGGTATATCAACTCATCTAGATACTTGCCTAGTTTTACAACAAGCTACATAAAAATCACTAGCAAAATCAGTACAAACTAAAATTTCATACAATGATTTGTTTATACTGCTCGATATACTATACACGGTAACGTAGGTCCAATATTTATATTCCAATTGATTTTATAATTACATGGTAAAAACAAGAAAGCAAGCAATTTTTCAGTAATTGTGTGCTATGACAGTTTTGTATTTTTATGTCTGATTTTGTAAGCAAGCAGTTTAAGTGAGGTGAAACTTGGGGGTACACTAGACAAATCAGAGTCCTGAAAGGGGTACAGTAGTCTGAGAAGATTCAGAACCACTGTTCTAGAGGCCATGGCTTCCTGAGTGACAGTAAGAAACCCAAAAAGTGAACATGGAGTCTGTCCACATTAGCATAGCCCAAGTGAAGCTGCTGGAGCTTACTTCATTATTTCCCCTCAGGGAGGAGTTCATGTACATCAAGTTCTTTGGTAGGAAGTCTCCTCATAGGCTCTTTTCTAACCTGTGTTAGGGGAAACCCCGCTCCTATCACAGACAGGTTGAGCATCCGTGGATTAATCTGGTTGAAGAGATCACCATCCAAAAAACTTAGTACTGCGGTAGAACAGGAGGAGCAGATCTTTGTTTTCGATTTTTTTGTCATGTCAGCGTTCCATGTAACTGCCATGCGGCATGATTAATACTCTACCTCAGCTGACAAAATGGAGTTGACAAGAGTTCTTATTAAAACTGTATCCAGATGTTAAGATTCAATTTAGCTAAATTCTAGGAATTTAAAATTCCTGGAATTGTTTGTTTTTTCTTTTTTTGGGGTCAGAATTGAACACCTGCTGTAGACCCATTGTTACGGAATATACATGCCCTATAACCTCTGCGTAGTAAGATCTGGAGACATGGATTACAAGGCAGCTGAACTGGTAATACAAAACTATAACTAGAAACTAGACAGTGTTAGAATATATTCAGTGTGCTAGATGTTAAAAATTACAAGCTTAAGTGTGCATGTGTGTCATATTGTCTTCTAGCACTGTATGTTAAGGGATCTAACAAGTTCCAATAAAATACAGTAGCAATTTTAAAGTTTGTAAAAGACAACTCACATCACAACTCAAAACAAGATTTTTAAAGCCGTAAAAAAGTATCAAGTAGTTTGAACTCAAAATTTGATCCATTTAAGATTAATCTAAGTGGCAAAAGTCTCCTTCACATTTTCATATCCTTTATTTTTGAAATCCTCTGACACTAATAGAAATAGTAGCCCTTATTAATGCAGAAATGTAATCATTTTGTACAATGCTACAGAGACAGAGAACAGATGCAGCACAAGATAACATCACACTGCCTAGAGTTTAATTAGACAGTACTTTGAGAAGACAGACAACCTATTACAATGTTGGCTTCTGCTAAAAAAGTGTCCACTAGATTTCTCTTCTGAGATATTTCAAAATTTATAATAGTCACATGTTCTAGAACAGAGGTGGGCAAACTACAGCCCACAGGACCCTCCTGCCAGGCCCCTAGCCCCCGGCCCCGCCCCCACAGTCTTAGCACGCCGCGCCTCCGGCGCAACACTCTGGGCAGCCAGGCAGCGCAGCTGCAGAGCCGCAGCCTGACCCGGTGCTCCAGGCAGTGCAGCTGTAGTGCCGCCAGCCACCAGTGCTCCAGGTAGCGTGGTAAGGGGGCAGGGGAGTTGGGGGTGGTGGTCAGGGGGCGGGGGTGTGGATAGGGGTCGGGGCGGTCAGAGGGCGGGGAACAGGGGGTTGGATGGGGTAGGGGTCCCAGGGGGCAAGTCAGGAATGAGAGGGGGGGTTGCATGGGGCGGCAGGGGGCAGGCAGGGGTGGGGGGTGGTCAGGGGACAGGGAGTGGTGGATGGAGTAGGAGTCCTGGGGGGGCCATTGGGTACGGGGGTTGGATGGGGCAGGAGTTAGGGGAAGCCATCAGGGGGCGAGAAGTGGCGGGGGGAGGTGTCGGATAGGAGGCGGGGCCGGGCCACGTCTGGCTGTTTGGGGAGACACAGCCTCCCCTAACCGGCCCTCCATACAATTTTGGAAACCCGATGTGGCCCTCAGGCCAAAAGGTTTGCCCGCCCCTGTTCTAGAAGGAGTCACCTGACTTTAAAGTTGCATAGTAGATCTACACTGTTAAACAGCAACAATCATGTCACATTCCTACCTGCCACCTTTGTTCGGATTTGCATGTTTTCTTGTAAAGCTGCCAATGGTTCCAAGTATTCTTGTGCCTTTCCAGCTATGACCTCCTGTAGTTTTGCATCCACTTGGCTTAATCTTTCTTTGTAAAGTCTTAAAATAAAAAATGTAGTTTATTACTTAAGAGCCAACACAAGCAGAATAGCAGAAATGACAGTTTCATATGCAAGAATTCTTTAGACAATCCCATATCTACAATCATAAAATTTAATAATCTCATGACAGATCTATTAAAACCTAGAAATTTACATCTGTTGCCACTCTAAATTCCAAGACAAAAAAGTCACTTTTAAAGTAAACTATTTTCTTTTTGTATACTTCACCCTTCTAGGAAAGATGTACAAGCGTAGCATTTCTATCCCTTCTTATTTTCTATCCCTTCTTTCTGAAGATGGAATCACAGATATTAATGGCAGAATATGATCTCTTCACTTTAAAAATAAACAAAAAACACCAAAGGGAAAGTGACTAGGAACTGGGGATGGTATACAGAAACTTTTACGAAGATTACCCAGATTGGCAGCAACTGAATCATCAGATGACACTACATGCAAAAAGATGATCAATCTAAATGGAATGAGATGAGCCTTCATATCAGTTCTCAGTGGACAGATTCTGCATCCACACAAAATATTCCCACCATGACAATGAACACTAACTGGCACCTTCAGCTAAGATATCGCATACTCAACTGGCATAGAAAGTGAGCTGATATTTTAAAACCTCTAAAATTGTTCCCTTCTGAACAAGTTGATATTAATTGGCAGAGTGATGTGGGAAAAATCCTTTACCTACAGAACAGACAGGTTAAGTCTAAAGATTACAATGTAGTATCATGAACAGTTTTTAGAGTTAGTAAGACAACAGAGCCCCATTTTCAAGTGGAGCCTCTGGGTTCAATAGTGATAACTGATATGCAATACACTTTTTAAAAGTTAAGTTGAAAGCTGTAGGGTGTAGCTCACCTGCTTGTTTTAGTTTTCACTTCATGTCTATTAAAGATAAACCTATCTAAAGACAGTGAAGTAGGCTGATAGGTATTAATTGCTGCTAAAGCACAAATTTTTGACCTTACAGAATTATTTCTGAAAACAAAATCTAAATGACAATTCAAAACATACTTTATTGGTGAGACTATCAGCTAAGGGAGAAGTCAAATTTTGCAGTCTGCTACACTGATGTCGAAAACTTAATTCTAGACACACTTTTAATTAAATGCTGGGGGGATGCCTCTGGTTGCATATGACATAAGGAAGGAAAAGGAGTCCTGATGGCACAAGAATGCAAGTCCACATATATCCCCTCAGCATTTTTGGACAGGAGACTCATGCAGGCACTTCCACCCAGCAACTGCATTTGCGATCCCCTTTCTTACTCTAAAAACTACATTTATCTTCCCCCTAAAAATTCTAATGAGAAGAAAGCAGAAATTTGGCTACTCGCACAATTATTTCATCTCAGAACGCCAATTTAACACCATGCTCTTTAAAGAGTCAACAGCTGCTGTAATGGTAGAATCCAGATGAGAGTAATTCCTGCAACACAGGAAAGGAAAGACTTGACTGTTCGTGGTCACTTACAGCACTACTGAAAGAATGAGCCCGCAAAGGAAGAGAGACTTTTTAAAAATGTTTGACTACTTACTGATCTTTGAGGTCTGTAAATTGTTTTTCAAGATTGGACATTTCATCTAAGCATTCCATTCTTCTTCTTTCACAGTCCTCATCATCCATTTCTGGAAGAAAAAAAAAGGGGGAGCGGGTAAGGTTTTGACAACTATATCTGAGAATAAATGTACTGGAAATTAACTTACCAGTTTTATACAACTTAAGACCAAGCTAACCATAAACAATTTATGAAAAACTGAGTCAGCTACTGGTGTTCTGTAAGCTAAAGGTTTAAGAGATACTAGTCCCCTGCTGAAGACAATTCCAAATTTCAAAGCTACCTTACATTTGCTGTGGTATATAAAATTAACTAACCTAATTGGGTTTCTTCTAGAATTAGAAGAAATGGAGATCAGTTTAGTTAGTTGAAGCAATAGCAATCCACACAAAATGAGTGCATAGTCCATGGAGTTATATTGGTTATCCATAGACTGATATTTTGTATAGATTAACCTCCACTAAAAAAAGAAAGTTGTAGTTCTTCAGTTTTGAAGACTATTTTCATTATATTAAATTGCTTTCTTGGTTTTGCAGCGAAAGAGCTCAAGTATAGGAATCTCCCTCATCTATCTTAGTGACTATTTAAATAAATATTTTAAAGCAATGCAATAAAAACAGATTCATCACCATTGCCAGAGTTATTTTATTGACATTTCTGAATATTTCCTTAAATATACTTGCATTTAGAGATCAAAGTACCTTTTTTAAAAAACTAAAAAAAAAAGCAAGGAATGTTGGATTTTGGCAAAGCTCTTCTGCTCTCTTTAGCCTTTCCCTAAAAACTTTGCTTGACATCTCCTATTATTATAGAGGTACACAGAGGCTTAGTTGCTTTCTTAATTCAGATGCAGATAAATGTTAAATGTCCTAGAAATGGAGAGAATCCTCGATGGTATTGGGTACGTGCTCCAAAATATTGAATGTAAATCTTATCGTTTTTCAGGGTGGAATTTGCTTTTTTGTTCTCTATGATGTACAAGAGAACTTGAAAAGTGTTTTTCCACAAGAGTTTCTGCTTTGTTTTTCCCCCACCCTCTTTTAGGAGTTTCTCCCAAATCTTTCCCAGAGGACTTCTCGGTAGAAGAGAAGGCAAGGCGTCTCAAGAGACGCGTATTGTGAGCTCTCACCACTCAAAGGCAGGGGAAGTCAGAAGAAAGTTAGCTGGATGCACCAGAGTTTAGCAAACATTAACAAAACAAAATTTTAAATGGGGACACTAAGCCCTGGTCTACACTACGAGTTTAGGTCGACTTTAGCAGAGTTAGGTCTATTTAACCATGCACCCATCCACACGACGAAGCCTGTTTTGTCGACTTAAAGGGCTCTTAAAATCTATTTCTGTACTCCCCGGCGAGGGGTTTAGTGCTAAAGTCGACCTTGCTGGGTCGAATTTGGGGTAGTGTGGACACAATTCGACAGTATTGGCCTCCGGGAGCTATCCCAGAGTGCTCATTGTGACCGCTCTGGACAGCGCTCTCAACTCAGATGCACTGGCCAGGTAGACAGGAAAAGCCCCGGGAACTTTTGAATTTCATTTCCTGTTTGGCCAGCGTGGCGAGCTGATCAGCACAGGTGACCATGCAGTCCCAGAATCGCAAAAGAGCTCCAGCATGGCCGGAATGGGAGGTACTGGATCTGATCGCTGTATGGGGAGAAGAATCTGTGCAGGCAGAACTCCATTCCAAAAGACGAGATGCCAATATATATGTCAAAATCTCCAAGGGCATGATGGACAGAGGCTACAACAGGGACACACAGCAGTGCCGCATGAAAATTAAGGAGCTCAGGCAAGCTTTTCAAAAAACAAAGGAGGCAAACGGTCGCTCCGGGTGAGAGCTCTACACATGCTACTTCTATGATGAGCTGCATGCAATTCTAGGGGGGTCCCCTACCACTACCCCACCACTGTCCGTGGACACCTGCAAGGGGGGAGTCTCACGCAACAGGGATGAGGATTTTGTGGATGAGGAAGATGAGGAGGTGGTTGAGGATAGCGGCAAGCAGCAGGCAAGCGGAGAATCCCTTCTCCCCGGCAGCTAGGAACTGTTCATCACCCTGTAGCCAATACCCTCCCAACCCTCCCAAGGTGGGCTCCCGTACCATGAAGCCGGAGAAGGAACCTCTGGTGAGTGTACCTTTGTAAATATAATACAGGGTTTAAAAGCAAGCGTGTTTAATGATTAATTTTCCCTAAAGACTTGGGATGCATTCGCGGCCAGTATAGCTACTGGAAAAGTCTGTTAACTTGTCTGGGGATGGAGCAGAAATCCTCCAGGGACATCTCCATGAAGCTCTTCTGGGGGTACTCTAAAAGCCTTTACCATGCCAAGCCAGTAGCAAGTAGCCTGGAATTATTGCAGAACAAAGCATTGCAGCGAATGGGCCCAGGCTTTGGTGGCATTCAAGCAACATCCATTCTTTATCTCTTTGTGTTAGCCTTAGGAGAGTGATATCATTCATGGTCACCTGGTTGAAATACGGGAAATTTGTTTAAGGGGACATTCAGAGGCGCTTATTCCTGCTGTGCTGTTTGCCTTTGGCTGAAAAGAAATCATCCCCAGTGTTAGCCCCGCAGTGGGGGGGAGGCCCGTTCATGCTGAGCTGTTCGCACTTTGCTGACAGGGATCTTCCCACATAGGCCACATAGCCACATAGGGGGCGGGGTCTGAAGTGATCATCCCAGAGTATTGGGGCATGGGTTGGGTTGTGCTGCACACTCACCCTAAAACCGCAGCCCCTCCTTTTAAACGGCCAACCCAATGGGCTTTGCTTGGTATGGGAAAGGAGGGTGCTGCTGTTTGAAACCATTCCCAGATGTTATGAAGGTTGAAGAAGCTGAAACCTTTTGCCTTACCATGGCTGCCTGCACGCCTAATTCTGTTGCCCAGCCAAGCATGTGTGATGTGACCGGCAGGCACTCATGAGAGGTAAAATGCAACCTTGTACCAAAAGCACATGTGCTATGTAATGTGAATCGATTGATTCAGGGTGAAATAATCTTCCCTTTGTTCTCTAAAATGTATCTTTTTAAAAACTACTCTCCCTTTTTTTCCTCCAACAGCTGCAAATGTTTCTACGCTCCCCCTATCATCTCCGTTCCAGCAGCAAGCGCAGATTAGAAGGCGGAAAAAAACTGCACTCGCGCTGACATGTTCTCAGAGCTCATGCAGTCCTCCAGCACTGAAAGAGCTCAGCAGAATGCATGGAGGCAAACAATGGCAGAGTCCAGGAAAGCATTAAATGAATGCGATGAGAGGAAGGAGAAGCATGATGAGAGGAGGCAGGATGCAATGCTGAGGCTAATGGAGGAGCAAACTGACATGCTCAGGTGTCTGGTGGAGCTGCAGGAAAGGCAGCAGGCGCACAGACCGCTGCTGCAGCCCCTGTGTAACCGCCTCCCCAAGTTCCATAGCCTCCTCACCCAGACGTCCAAGAACGCGGGCAGGGGAGGCTATGAGCACCCAGCCACTCCACCCCAGAGGACTGCCCAAGGAACAGAAGGCTGGCATTCAGTAAGTTTTGAACTTTAGTGTGGCCTTGTCCTTTCCTCCTCCACCACCACCCCCGGTGCTTCCCTCCTCACCTACCCCTCCTGGGCTACCTTGCGAGTTTTCCCCCATTTGTGTGATGAATTAATAAAGAATACATGATTTTGAAACAACAACGACTTTATTGCCTCTGAAAGTGGTGATCGAAGGTGGGAGGTTGGTTGGCTGACAGGGAAGTAGAGTGAACCAAGGGGGCAGGTTTTCATGAAGGAGAAACAAACAGAACTGTCACAACGCAGCCTGGACAGTCATGAAACTGGTTTTCAAAGCTTCTCTGATGCGCAGGGCGCCCAGCTGTGCTCTTCTAATCATCCTGGTGTTTGGCTGTGTGTAATCGGCCGCCAGGCAATTTGCCTCAACCTCCCACCCCGCCATAAACGTCTCCCCCTTACTCTCACAGGTATTGTGGAGCACACAGCAAGCAGCAATAACAATGGGAACACTGGTTTCGCTGAGGTCTAACCTACTCAGTAAACTGCGCCAGCGTGCTTTTAAACGTCCAAATGCACATTCTACCACCATTCTGCACTTGTTCAGTCTATAGTTGAACTGCTCCTTACTACTGTCCAGGGTGCCTGTGTATGGCTTCATGAGCCATGGCATTAAGGGGTAGGCTGAGTCCCCAAGGATAACTATAGGCATGTCAACATCTCCACCAGTAATTTTCTGGTCTGGGAAGTAAGTTCCTTCCTGCAGCTGTTCAAACAGACCAGAGTTCCTGAAGATGCGAGCGTCATGCACCTTTCCCAGCCATCCCACATTGATGTGGGTGAAATGTCCCTTGTGATCCACCAGTGCTTGCAGCACCATTTAAAAGTACCCCTTGTGGTTTACCTACTGGCTGCCAAGGTGGTCCAGTCCCAAGATAGGGATATATGTTCCGTCTATGGCCCCACCACATTTAGGGAACCCCACTGCAGCAAAGCCATCCACTATGACCTGCACATTTCCCAGAGTCACTACCCTTGATAGCAGCAGCTCAGTGATTGTGTTGGCTACTTGGATCACAGCAGCCCCCACAGTAGATTTACCCACTCCATACTGATTCCTGACTGATTGGTAGCTGTCTGGCGTTGCAAGCTTCCACAGGGCTATCGCCACTCGCTTCTCAACTGCGAGGGCTGCTCTCATCTTGGTATTCTTGCACTTCAGGGCAGGGGAAAGCAAGTCACAAAGTTCCATGAAAGTGCCCTTACGCATGCGAAAGTTTTACAGCCACTGGGAATCATCCAAGACCTGCAACACTATTCGGTCCCACCAGTCTGTGGTCGTTTCTCGGGCCCAGAATCAGCATTCCACGGCAGGAACCTGCCCCATTACCACCATGATGTCCAAATTGCCAGGGCCCGTGCTTTGAGAGAAGTCTGTGTCCATGTCCTCATCACTATTGTGATCGCACTGTCGTCGCCTCCTCACCTGCTTTTGCAAGTTCTGCACATACTATAGGATAATGCGCGACGTGTTTACAATGCTCACAACAGCAGTGGTGAGCTGAGTGGGCTCCATGCTTGCCATGGTAT